ATAATACCGTGCGTCTTGGCCGATGACCAAGCCTGCAATGAACATATAATTCGCACGAAGAAACCGATGCCCCGGCCACCAGACGTATCATTGGCTATACATAGCACGCGTCGCGACGCGCAGACGCCGGGCATCTCTGCCCTTTCGCTATAGTCCGATAAACAATTTCACGGTTTCGTGTCCACCGACCTTTGGCTTCGATGTATGTATGCAAATTTTCTTTGCATTCTTTGTCCCTCAGATTGGACGGCCAGTTTGTCTTCAAGATTTGTTTCCACGTTCACGCATTGGAGCGATGAAGAGGCAGCTCCTTTATCTTGGTTAATTTTTAAGAACTTTGGAACTTGCGAGATTAAGGATTAGATTAAGAAGGTCGAAATCTCGGGAAATGTTGTAGAAATTCTTCAAGAAACTTTTGCCCCTATTTTTTGCTTTGGATTGAAAAACAGAAAAGATGATTATTGCGTAGTTTGACGAGTTGTAGAAGTTTGCGTAAATTTTGCGAATCTAAAAGCCAAGTCTTAATTAAAAATAACACATCTTAAAATAAATTTTACGAAGATTTTTTTTTTACAACATTGGGATGTAAAAAAATAACGTGCATTTTATTTTCATTAATTATTTAAACTTATTAGTAATGGAATATTTGTAAAATATTTGGAAAAATTGAAACAAAATGCTCTGTCTAATTTATTGGATACATTTCGGTAATTATATTATTTAGTTTTAATAAGTGAAATATCAAATATTTTTATATTTTTGTAGAAAGAATTATGGAAAAATTCTGGAATAAAAAAATTTAAGAAAAAATTTAAATAACAAATAAAATAAGCAACTGTAATAAGAGATAAAATAAAAATTAATGAATGGGCTCTAAAAGAGAAAAAGTTCTTTATTTCTTTTTCGAGGTGTTAATGACCCAGATAAATGCCAGTCACTTCTCGAAGATAGAGAATTCATAGAATTCATAGAATTCCTAGTGTTTATTTAATCTTTTTGCCCTAATATTTTTCAAACGATACGAGAGACGAGAGAAAGTGATGTTTGATATAGCAAACTCTTTAGAATTTCATTAAGTAAACGATATATAGATGAAACGATTAGATTAATTCTTAATATCAATTGTTTCACCAAAAATGGGGCCAGAAATTTGCGTTGAATCGAACTCCTTGAATTGTTGACCTTTAACTTTGCGCTATTGCACCTATGTGATATTAGAGTCAATGCACCTTTGTCAATGGAACGTGAAACGCTTATCGTAAAAAGATGTATCAATAATTACTTTGAGTTGCGTTGAAAGCGTTTCGTTATTTCGTTAATAGGTTTGTTTTCATAAAATGGACAACTTTATGAACTTTTATGCAAAGCTGTATAAAATGTATTTATTTGTTTATTTTTATTGAAAAACAATAAAAATAAAAAAAATAAAATAAAATAAAATGTAATAAACAAACTGAATAAATTTTATTTTATTTTTGTAAAATTAAACATTTCCTAATAGTAATGTGTGATATCATTAAAAAAATATGACCTGAAATATGCAGTCATCAAAACACAAATGGAGAATAGTGAAAGAAGAGAAGGAACAGATACTTGTATGCAAAGGAATTGATAAAGGTGAATAACTTCTCAGACTTCCTTATGATTCACTCTGTGCATTGCGTAGTTGAAGAATTTAATAATTTCCCATGAAAGTTTAAACTGAATTTTTAACTTCCTGTTTTCTTGTTCATGTTATATATTATTTCCTCAGATATTTATTGAAAATAATATGCAAAATGCTATAAATTTATTGAAGATTTATGAATAAGATAGAAAAAAAAAGATTGTTAATTACGAATATCTTAAATATAATAATAATATATATAATATTATTTTTCGTATCATTATTTAAATAAATTTGAAAGCATGTATCCATATAATTATCATTATTTTCCTTTAGAAAAAATATAAAATACAAAAACAAAGTACAAAGTTGTCATTGATATTATTATTTATTTGACTTATATAAAATTTGATAAAAATTGATTATTTTTATTTTCTTATTTATTATTCAATAAACTTTAATCAATTTTTAATTTAATAATAAACAAATAAATAGAAACTTATATTTATAAAATATTGAATTTATTTTTGAAATAAAATGTTATAACATATGAATTCCCTACGGAGACAAAACATATGTTTCTAATCATACTCTTTAAAAAAGATTGACTCATGTTCTATTATAAGTGAGTGCATATTTTACTCATAAAATATAGTAACTTTTGTTTTGTTATTATTTTTTATATACATAATCGAATATATATATTTTATATAAAAGTATCGATCTTATGTAATCGATCTTTTTCTCTGTGTCTATGTAATAGATTTTAAATAAATAGATTTTATTTTTCAATACAATTTTATATTAATAAAAGAGATTAGAATCAATTTGTTGCTCTTTTGCTTTTTTGGTTTCGTTCAAGACATTTAATTTAATTTAAAATAAACTCCAACACTTTTAATCTATCGAATTCACGTAGAATGTCGTATTAAGGTCAAAAGCTTAAGGGAGATCCCTATGCTCTGGCGAACTATTTCTGCTTTCCGCTTCACTGTGGGTGCTATCGACCCTGGACAACTTCTAAACCCGGGATCTTGTACCTTGACCTAATTTTACCAGACTCTAACGTCCGTGTAGAATCGATATACATTTTTACATCTTCATAGTACAATGCAATGAATGCACTCACTTATAATAGAACATGAGTCATAAAAAGCAATAATTTTTATCAATTAATTTATCAATAGGCAATATTAAAATTTATAGAGAATAAATAGTATTATTATAAATAGAATAAATCTAGATAATTAAATTATCAATAGTATTATATTTTCAAACAAAATTTTCTTTTATTTATTATTTCAATTTCTAATAGATAATAAATAATTGAAAGGTTAATATTTAAAAAAAAAATTTTAAATTTTTGTCTTTGTATTAATTGTAATATTTTATGTTTTGTTATATTAGTCAATTGTAATATTTTATATGTTTCTAATATGTTACTCTCAATTCCTTTTATAACACGAGTTTCTAAATTATAATATTTTGCAATACGATCTGATAATTTCATGTCTTAATATATTGTTACATGAGTTCTCAATTGTAAATCCTAATATTTTGCAATATGAGCTTGTAGTTTAAAAATCCAATGTTTTGCAATGTGAGCTGATTTGTATTCGATGATAAAGAATTCATTGTATCCGAGCTTCGTAAGTAGTGAAGCATCCAAAATGGTCAGACAGGAAGATATCATTATCGTAAACAAAAAGCATAGTATAATAATTACTTGCTTATCTTAAAAAAATATTAATAATTATATAAATATATATTTTTTATTATTATTAAAATAATTTTGATTTAAATAATAAAAAACTTTAAAATTGCTAAAAATAAGAATAAATCATATTTAAATAAATCATATTTATTATAATTTTCATTATATGTAATTTAATATATGAAAATATTTTTTATTAAGAAATCATGTATTAAAATTATTAATTCAGAATTTTATATTATATATAAAAATAAAAAATATATTTAATATTTAAATTATTATGAAATATAATTTATTTAGAAGAAGAAGAGAATTGTAATAAAAAATAAATATCTTTAATCATGAAAAATGATGAAAATTATAATCTCAATTTTATTAGATTTTTTCTTATATTTCATATATTTCATCATTTATCAAATTTTAATTATAAGAAATTTAAAATATAATTTTTTCACGGTTTATTCTAAAAAATAAATATTATTTACCTGCAATTATAAAATATTTTTTTTCCATATATTTGATCACATTTTCACTTAAATTCAATACCTTTAAATTAAACAAATTAAAACTTCAACTCTATATAAATCAAGTAATGTTCATATTTCGATATAGTTTAGCTTTATTTTTACCAATGAATTTTAAGTAAAATGATTCCTCTTTTCTAAAATATATCCAAATCATTTTGTAAATATTTATTCATTGATACCTCTCATTGAAAAAAGATAATTTTACATGAATCACCAAGTTTAGTCTGCTTCTCTTTTATAATTATAATAAACATAATTAAAACATTTTATAATAAACATATTTCTAATGCATATTTTCTAATGAAGTCAAGTTAATTATCGATAGCATTACTAATTGTCCACATATAAAATAACAATAAAAATCAAGTGAAGTAATCTAAAAATATGTTCGTTTTTGTTAATTGTTATCTTATAAATATTTAAGATTATTTTTTTAATTTTGAATCATCATTTTATATATATTTTATATATTAATATTAAACATATATTAATAGACTGATGGCAAAAAAAAAAACTAATGCTGAAATAAAACTAAATCAAAAAATACAATTTTTATATTTTTTGTCGATTTTTTTAGTTTTATTTTAATTTTATTTTATTTTAGTTAATCTTTTAAATTTTTTATATAGAATTGAACTTATATTTAAATATTGAAAAAAATAGCTTTTTTTTACTAATTCATTTTATCAGCATTGATAATTGAATTAAATATAATTTTTAAATTTATCATTCTAAATGATAGAGAAACACATCATTTAATATTTTTGCACAATTAATATTTTAGAATAAGAAATATAAAATTTTATAAGAAAGATTGTTGATTATTTATTTTATATTTCGTTTGTATTTATAGCAGAATTTGTACTAATAAATACATATGTAAGTATAAATGTACATCTTTGAGTACATCTTGAGTAATATATATATATATATATTTTTTTTTTCCTTGCTATCTTTAATAAAGTTATAATGAATATTAAAACTGATATATTTATAAAACTATATAATTTTTTTATAATATAATTTCTTAATATTATCTTAAAATAATTTAAATTGTTAAAAATTAATCTTTCAATCTATTTAATTCTTTAATATTTCATTGTAATTGTTAAATGCTGACCTCTAGTGTCGACAAGTTGTGCAAAGAAAATAACGTGTCTTTTAAAATTTATTAAATATGGTACATAAAAGTTTAAATATTATTTAAAATATTTATTTATGATTTAATCGAGACTAAAAAACTGTAATCTGGTTTCTATCGTACATTACTTTTATAGGAATTTTTATTTTTCTCAGAAGAAAGGATCTAACAAAAACATAACCTTATATATGATATATGATCAACAATGGTAATATTTTTATTATTTTTTATAACAAACTTTCTATTTAGAAATATATTAAAAATTAAATTACTTATAATATGATTCATAATTTTATTTTCTTTTATCCGAAAATTCATTTTACGATGCTTTTCATTTCGTGTAAACCAATTTAAAAAATTGCACAATTATGAAAGTCGGCAAGATGTATATTTCACTATTTTGCTTAAATATATGCATTGATTTATTTATTAAATTGAAATAAATTAAAGACACTTTTGAACTACCACTTTATATATATTTTATATACTAATATAAAACATATGCTGTACCATTTATCAAGTGGCATTTAGTATTTAACAATGGATGGTAACCAAGTAATGGGGAGAAAAACGATAAAACTTATTATAGGTACATTCTTATAGTGAATATCAAATTGAAAGATTATTGTGTAAACTTTTTTCACATGAAATTCAAGAACTGTGTTTCTGAATTTTTATATAAACAAATGTATTTATTTGTCAAGGGTTATATCCAACCCTCATTTCTACATTTCTTATACAGAAATGTATAACATTTCTCTGTCATTATTCAACATACAAATATTTTTCTCTTTTCTTCAATTTTCAGGTAAATGTAATTAAAAATCTATTTTTAGTCAAAACTAAATGTTATATATAACCTCATTTATATATCTTATCAAAAAAATGTAAATAAACACTTCATCATATTATATATTAATTATATAATTATAATAATTAATTTATTTTCTTCTATAAAATATGAATTTCTTTTAAAAATATGTATTATTTAAATTTATGCTTTAATTTTTTTTTCTTTGGGTTTTGCATCTATATATCAATTAAATTAATATTTTTTTTTATTAATATTTATATTTAAAAATAATAATTTTTTATTAATATTATATTTTAAAATAAAATATAAATATATAATAAAACTTTAAAAAAATTAAAATTATTAATTTATATCAAGTTTATTCTTATTTGATTTTTTATAGGTGATTAACTTTAATTTTTTTCAAAAAACGTAAAAAAAGAAAATATTATGAAGAATTTAACGACAAAACAATTACAAAGAATAGAAAAAAAGAAAAAGAAAATGGCTGCACTTCTGGAAATAACTAAATTAAATGATAAAGATAGAAAAGCTAAAATGCATGTTCTTAAGAAAACTGTTAGTATACTCATTTCAATCATATTACTTTTTTTATAATTCCATATGATAAATATTATTTCAGTCTACAGAAGCTGATCAGTTAAATGATACAGACAACAGTGATGTTTCCATGGAAGAAAATGTCAAACGTAAACGTCCATGTGATGAAGATTTGAAAGAAACATTTCTAGAACATACTACTAAAAAGAAAAATATAGAAGGTACTGAAGAATCAGATGCACTTGCTAACAAAAAGCCTAGGTTTGTAAACAATAATATATTTATATTAATATTAATATGATATATATTAATGATTAATATTATATTATATAAAAATATATATTGCATTTGTTTAATAATATAGATTAAGCGGAGATGACTATTTAAAATTGAAACACGAATTACGAGAACGTAAAAAGCAACTTACAAAAATACCTCGATTTCAATTAAAAGCAGTTGGTGAAAGTGCTAGTTTAAGTATTAATGTTAAAAGTGAAAATAGAATTCCTATTTTTCTTAGTGATGTGCAACATTTATTGTTGTATTCATTACATGGTCATCATTCACCGTATGTACCAACAAGATGGTGTCAGCTTGAAAAATATAATAAGGTAATTATATATTGAAAAATTATTTGAAATATCATTACTTATTGACAAATTTTTAAAAAGGTCACACATACTGTGGTCTTTGTTGTTGAAGGACTTTCTTTATATCATTTTATGGCTTATGAAAGCATGTTTCCTTATATAACATCAAAATTGGAACATCGTGTAGAAATTGTAACACCTACAGCATATGGAGGATCAGTAATAGAGGATCTTGCAGCTGTTCCTATAACTGGAATACAAAGCGATAAATTAATTAAACGTATATGCATTTTAAAGTTTTATTAAAATTTGTTTTATTATATCATAATAAAAAATTTTCAAGTAAATAATATATTTTAAAATTATTACAGAATATGGATCATTAGAAGCTGCATTACAAAGTAACAATGATGTAATAAAATTATTACGGACTGTTTTTCCGATGTATGAAAATTTATCAACGAATGCTGAAAAATTTAAAACAGGATCTGAATTACCTCCTACAGATAAATTTCCTCGTACACAATTACTCTTATCATTATGTCAAATGGTAGAAGAAAATTATCCTGTTCCATTGAAAGGAGAATTAGCAAAGAAGTAATAATAGTAAAAATATGAATATTATGAATATTATTGATTATGAATTATTGAAATTCAATAAATAATTTTCTAATATTTAGGTATGAAAATTATATAATGACAAAAGATGTTTATGTAGAAGTTAATGCAAAATCACCAATGTTTGGTTTAGATTGTGAAATGTGCAAAACGACTACTGGAGAATTGGAATTAACAAGAATATCTCTTGTGGATGAAAGTATGAAAGTAAGTTCAATTTTACAATTATTATAAAGAGGGTATACAAATTCTATTAAATTCTATCGCAGATTATTTATAATAGTCTGGTAAAGCCGGATAATCCTATAACAGACTATCTCACACGCTTCAGCGGTATAACAAAAAATATGTTGGATGGTGTTAGAACTACATTATCGGATGTTCAACAAACATTGCGAAAATTACTACCTACAGATGCAATTCTTGTAGGACAAAGCTTAAATTCTGACCTTCATACATTAAAAATGATGCATCCATATATTATCGATACATCCGTAATATTTAACATTACTGGTGACAGGTATAATGTTCTTTTCTTTTTGTATTATAGTTTATTATATATAAAATATTTTCAATTTTCATTTATATATTATAATAAATATAAAAATAAATATTTTAATATTCAATTATAGATATAGAAAAACGAAATTACAAACTTTAGTAAAAGAATTCCTTGGTGAAAGAATACAAGAAAATAAATCTGGTCATTGTCCTACTGAAGATTCACAGGCTTCTATGAAATTAGTACAATTAAAGTTAGCAAATAGTTTGGATTATGGAGATGCTGTGTTACTTGGTCAATGCAATATGAATGTATTAAAAATGGAAGCAGAAAAGAGAACGAACGATCAACAATCATTTAAAACTGAAATACGGAAGTATGCAACTTCAATCTTCAAACATGTAACAAAAGATAAAAAATCTGCTGCCATTGTGGGTATTGAGGAAGTTATGAATGAATATTCTAAATATTTAACTTGTTCTCTCAATATTATGGACGATGAAAATTTCAATGAAAATGATCAAGTATGTTTTATTGCTTTAAGATTAAATTTTATTTATCGGTAATTATTATTATATTATATATTATATTATATTATTTATAGGTACGTCTTGTAGTAGCAGAAAATGATAAACAAGCTGTACTTCGAGCTTCACAGATAGCCATGGAACATGCTTTTACTTTGTGTCATATTAGAATAAATCAAGAAAAATTAAAATATGATCAAATAGAAAAGACTTTTCGTACTGTAAATAAATGGATACATAAATTATGGCAGCATATGGCAGTGAATGGTTTAGCTTGCGTTATATTTCCGGGAGAAAATAACGCAGCAAATGGTGCTTGTTTTTTGAATTTAAAAAAAGAAATATCTGAAGATTGTATAGTAGGTGCTTGAAAATAAAGAAATTTGCAATTGTATATTAATTTAAAAGGAAATTATTAAAGATGTATAATTCTAGTAATATTATGAATTGTAAAGAGATATGCAAAAAACTAAAAAGTCTCTTAACGATTAATTTGCATTCGATAATTATTATTTTATAGACATGTACAAATATTGTATTATTAATAAACTTTTTTATTCCTTGTAAATTTAATAATATTTTTATAAGTATAAGTTCTATTAAACACATTTATGAAATTATGAACACTAAATTAAATTATTTCTTTATGTTAAATTTAATTAGATTATAATTATTTTTTATTAAATATTTAAAAACTAATTATTTTTACGGATCTAAATAAAATAATATAAAAAATAATAAAGTTAGGATTTAGAAATAAAAAAATATTATCCATATTATTTTATTTACAATTTAATTCATTATATATCGATTATAATAAAGTAAAAAAAGTTAAACATTTATATCATATTTTAACAATTATACTTTATATTACAAGATGTACATTATTTCATATTAATAATAAATTACGTAATTGCAAATATCACAATTTATGGACAGTAAATATGATAATAAACAAGTAAAATTATGGATTCATAATGTAAAAATATGTTTTATATGTTGTGTTTTTATAATATATATGTTAATATAATGTATATGTTATGTTTTTATAATAGATTCATACGATCGTATGCATTATATCATTAGCAATATAAATTTGCCAAATCACACAATATTATCATATTGATGTTATGTCATATGTATGCACCAGGACTTAACAAAGAATTAATATAATGATATTAAAATGATTTTTAGTTTTAAATTGATAAAAATATAATAAAAAAAAAGCATTAGAATATATAGGAAGTTTACTTTTTATAAAATATCTTCTATATGGTAAAAAATATTTTAATTATTCTATAATTTAAAGAAAAAAAATATTTATAAAAGAAAATATTCTAAATGCTATATATAATTAAAAACTGCATAAAAAATTCACGTCAAAATGTCAAATTGAAAATAATCTTACTATGCATTTACAATATTTTATGAATAAAAATGACAATGATTTTTTCAAATTTTTAATTATATCATTACTACAGCTAAAGAATGATATAATAAATTTAATGAAACATAAAATTATTAACAGAAGATTTCATTTTCTGTTTTTTTAAATATTTCATGTAAATAGACACAGATTGTCTTGAATTTCTAGCAAGCATTCTATCTCGAAATGAAATATTTTTTTTGTTTCTAATTTTTTGTATATCAATGACATCAAAATCAGTAGTACTTCCAGAATTACTTGGTAAACTAAAATCCTGTTCTACAAATATCTTTCTTTTTTTACTAGGTTTGGATTCATAAGTTTCTGATTGCTTTCGTTTTTGTATTGTATTAGACATTGAAGTATTTTTTAATAATAATTTTTGTTTTTTTTGTGGTATTTTTTCAAATAATTCTTCTTTGTCTTGTAAAGCAACTTCTTTTAATAACTTCTTTTGTTTTCTTTTCTTTTCTTCAGATAACAATTCATTTGAAATATTATTATTTGATAGAATATATTCCTCCTTTTCATTTACTATATTAATGTCTTTATCTATATTTGATAAATTATGATTAGAAATATTTTCTATTCTAATTTTTTTTTTCTTTTTTCTTATTTCTTTATCAAGATTTTTTGATTTTATTTCAACAATATCTTTAAATATTTGTTCTTTTATTTGTACATCAGTATCATGTGTTTTTTTTTTTTTATTCTTATTCTTAGATAATTGCACATTTAAAATATTATTCTTCGGTAAAATGTCTGACACTTGCTCTTCTTTCTTTGTTATATTATTTTCTTTATTTATATTTAATGAATCTGAAATGTTTTCAAGTATATTTTTTTTTTTCTTTTTTTTATTTATTTCATTATGTATTCCTTCATCAAGATTTTTCGATTTATTTTCAATATCTTCAATAATTATTTCTTCTTTCATTTGTCCATTAATATCATATGTTTCCTTTTTGTTTTTTTTCTTAGAAATTTGTTTATTTGTAATATTACTATTTAATAGTGTATCTGAAACTATTTCTTTTTTTCCCTTTATATTAATGTTATTTATACTTGTCAAATTTGAAATATAATCAACTATATTTTCTTTTTTTTTCTTCTTTTTTACTTCATTGTACATTTTTTCATTAAGATCTTCAGATTTTGTTTCAATATCGAATATATTTTTTTTTATATTAATATCATGTGTTTTCTTTTTCTTTTTTTTTGTCTTATCTACTTCTTTTGTTTCATTATCATCATTATTAATAAAAGGAACAAAATGTTCAGTTTTCTTTACTATTTCTGTATTATGTTTATTCAATTGAGAATCGTTTTCAAATATAGGATCAGTTATTTCCTTTACTGTTGATTGCTTTCGTTTTTTTTGCATTTTTTGAAGATCATTTTCTAATATATTATCCACAATACCAAATGATTCTTTTTCTAAAGAATCATCTACTTCTTTAGATATTTTATTTTTTTCATTGTCGTTTTCATTTTCTTTTTCAATTTGATCGTTTTTCTTACTACTATTAATAGTATTTGTTAATTCTTTGAACATAATATCTGATTTCAGTATTGGTGCACTTTCATTTAATTTATCTTTCTTCAAATATCTTGTTGTAGGTGTGTCGCTTCCCAAAACTAATGTTGTTTTGTTTAATCCTAATACTTTAGATGACATTGGCCTTGACAGATTTGTTTCTGCTACAAATTCAATTAATTCAGATGGAAGACTTCTATGTGCAAGACTTTCATCGCTTTTTAATTTTTTTAATTTTTTCTTTAGCGTTATATCTTTACTTTTTTCCTCGTCAAGAGACAAATTTTTCTGAACATCATAAGTTTTAATATTAAATTTGTCTTTGTTAGATAAATTAATTTTAGGAGTACTATATACCATTGATTCATTGACGTTTTCTTTTATATTTGAATTATCCATTTTGACATCAAGATCTTTTATTTTTTTATTAAATATTATTTGAGATCCATTTAATGATTTTTCAATATTTTGATCTCGCTTTTTATCCTTGCTATTTTTCTTACTTTTTTTAACATTCTCTTCAATATCTAGCTCAACATTATTTTCAATTTCTTCATCTTTCTCCTCTTCTTTTTCTTTGTCTTGCTTTTCTTCAATTTCAATTTCTTCATTTTCTTTCTCTTCACTTTCTTCGTCTTCTTTTTCTTCAAATTCAATTTCTTGATCTTCTTTCTCTTCACTTTCACTTTCTTCATCTTCCTTTTCTTCAATTTTAATTTCTTCATTTTCCTCTTCTTCACTTTCACTTTCTTCTTCTTCTTCAACTTCATCATCATCAACTATAAAGTCTGCCATATCTGATCCATTATCATCTGGATCTGATGATTCTATTTCTGATGCTCTACATTCATCTCCTCGTATATCATCATCGGAAAAATTCGGAATGTTTTTACCGTGAAAATTATATTCCTTTTGAATATCAGAATCTATACTATTATTAGATTCACTATCATTGTTCTCACTATCGCTGGTTTCTGCAAATAAAAATTTAGGTATGTTCATGAATTTTTTTTGTGTGTCATCTGAATCAGAAATATCGTTACTTTTTTCAGAGTCGGATAAAATATTAGCTGTTGTTGAATAATTTTTTTTCGATTTTTTTCTTGTTTTATCTCTCAATAATTTTCTATCTGATATTCCTATACTTTGTAATTTTACATCTTCTTCTACATTTTCTATATCACTTTTTACTTCTTTTTTTTCTTTATTTTTATCTTTCACATTTTGTTGTTTATTACTAGTAGAATATTTATTTTTACTATTATTTAATTTACATTTATCTTCTGACATATCCATCAATATATCTGTATCATTTTCTGCTTTCATGGAATCTCTTTGTACTTTTAATACAATAGTATCATCTGAATCATAATCAAATGTTTTTTTTTTATTTTTTTTCAATTTTTCTGCAGATAACCATGCCTCTTTATCAACTAAAACAAGATCACATTCACTTTCCTTTTCATTTTTTATATTTTCATTTGACAAATTTAAAGAATTTTTATCAGTTTCATTATTTTTCTCTTTCCATTCAATAGCTGAAACATCTTGAAATAAATTTGCTAAATTTGTATTAGAATCATCATCAACTTCAAATTTTTTTTGATATTCTTTAGTTATTATTTTATTATCTGGATATTTTTTTTCTGATTTTAATTCGTTTGTACATTGTTTTATTAACATTATTGAATCATTAAATTCATTTTGCATAAATTCTTTCTCTGGCTGCTTTTTTTTGTCAACTACTTCTTCAATAAAATCAGCAGGAGTATCTGTAATAAAAATATGATTTTTAATTAAATTAATTATGTTGGCTTCGTTTATTAATTATTATTCTCTAGAAACATATAAATATTCAAGAATTTTGATAAATTTCTCATACATAAGAATGAATTAAACTTACCAATGTTATTTAAATGCTCTTCATATATACTGCTATCACATTTATTTATTGGAAATGGCAGTTCATTTTTTTGTATAGGTTTAAAAGAATTTTTTGAATCTAAAATTTGATATGATGTTATAAGATTAGAATTTCTAAGATTTAAATATATCTTAAAATTTGTAAAATTTTTAAATACAATATACCTGATTGTATATTTTCATTAATATCAGATAATGTACGATTTAAAGTTAATCTAGAAAGTTTCATTGATTCTTCTTTTTCTTCTGTAACAGTTATTTCTGAAGGTATTAATAAAGATTGTCTTTTTGTTTTAATAGATGTTTTTATTAATTCATTGTTTTGTTTTTCTGTTAGTTTATCAGATGTAGTTTCAGGTTCCACAGAACTAGCTCTTATATTATGTGCGTTTCTTACTGATGGTGAATTTGTTTTTGATTCAACTCTTACAAAATGTTTACTAAAAAAAAAAAAAAAAAATAATAGTGAATAAATAAAATAAAATTTAATTGTACAAATAATTCATTATTATATATACCTTCTTCGATTATCTGTCATTTTATTATTATTAGAAGAATTATTTCTAGTTTTCTTTATTGGTGTACTAATATCTGATGATATAGTATTTGTTCTAGAACGTAAGTTTCTTTGATTTTCAATGGAAATAGTATTATCAATAGTAGTTATTTGTTGTCTTGAAATTTGTGTATTACTAACATCATTTAGAGATAATTCAGGTGAAGAATTATTTTTTTTAAGGTTTTGTTTAATTCTTGAACTTCTACGAAGTGGTGAATAAAGCGATACTGTTTCGATAAAACCTTGAGTCTTGTCATCTAAAAATTTAAAAAAAAAATTTTAAAAAGTGAAATAATAGAATAAATTTTAAAAAATATTAATTATGTTTGAAAAAGATTTAAAATAAAAATTTACATCAAATCATATTGCATAATTGATAAAAATATAACCGTTGTTCAAATCAACCGTTATATTTAGCAATTAAATAAATCATATGTATATATAAAAATACGAACCATACTTTGCAACCATTTCATTAATTGATTTTCGTGGCATTTTTCGTTATTAAAAATTTGTATAAAAATTAACAATAACTTAATAAATAGTTTCACTAACACGTGTTATAACCAATGAATTTAAATTAACGACTTAAATTACATCTTTACTACATTATGGAATAAACATTCAGAGACATCAAGCGACGAAATTTAGCGGCATTTAATTTATTTCCAAAAGATCATTAAAGAGATTTTTTAAAAAAATATATAAATATAATAAATATAATTTTCTATAATTTAATTTAAAATTATTATTATATTAATTTAAAAATTAATATTATGTGAAAAAATAGAAATTTATAATGTGTTAAAAAGAAACAATAAAAGCTATAATTTTGCATAAATTATTTCGTAATTATTTTCAAAATTATAATAAATAAATTGAAAAATAAATTAAAGAATTGTTAAAAATTTATTGAGTAAAATGAACAATCAACAAAAGAAAATGAAAAAATATTGGTTTAATTTTAAAATTATAAATTCATATATGATTTTATTATTTGAAAGCAATATTTAAAAATAATAATAAATAATTTTGTAAATAAAATTTCATTTATATGTAATATTTGCAATGTTATATATTAATTTTTATATTTTTATTTTAATATATTAATTTTTATGTATTTAATAAATAAAATATATAATTTACATAAAAAGTATTTTGACAAAAAATTTAATATTGAGTTTTCTACATAGAAAGAGCCCGGCTAGCTCAGTCGGTAGAGCATGAGACTCTTAATCTCAGGGTCGTGGGTTCGAGCCCCACGTTGGGCGATTTTTTTTCTTTATATTTAGGGATAAAGAAAATTTTAACAAGAATATTAAATAAAGTTAATATAGTAATTAAAATATATATAATTAAATATACATAAAATACAATATATCCAAGATTATTAGTTATAGGTTTGAATGAAATTAAATTGCTTACAAATGTTGAAGCAATACATAGTTTTTTAATAATAATTTAATAATAATTTAATTAAATTTAATAATAGTTTTTTAATAATTTTTTTTTCATTTCTACATGAGTTAATTAAATAAAGAAATATTTTTTCTAGTCCTTCTAATTTTTGAAATATTCTAAAAAATATATTAAAACAACATATATTAGAAATATTTCAAATTTTAAATGTTTTCATTTTTTCAATATGAATTATAATAGATAAAAATTATTTTTTCAGAATTACCTTAATTATAAATTTTATAAAAATATGTGGATTAAATATTTTCTCTTATAAATAAAAATGATTTCATATATTTTTGCAATACAATAATACATATAATTAAGATTTCAAAAAATAATTCCCATTCAAAAATTGCCAATAACATTATTTTTTGCTATCAAGATTTATACATTACCTTTATATATAAAATGAAAATATATATATATATATATATATATATGATGTTTTATTTATTATATATATGAACAATAAAATGTAAAAATACATTCATGATAAAAATTATACAACCAACATCATTTCTAAAGAATGTAAATGAAATTAATATATAAACAAAGAAAACAAAAAATAAAAAAAATAGAGATAAAAATTCACCATCAATGCTTGAATATAGAAAACATTTTTTCAAATGCAAGATAGAATAGGAATTAAGGATTAACGCCATCTCTTGAATGAATGATATCTTTTCAAAAAATCATTTTTTTAAAAACAAAGATAATTCTAACAATCAATTTTTATTTTATTTATATTCTTTTCTTACTATTTGCTCTTTTTGGTTTCTTGTGTTTTATTTGCGAGATTCTGAAGATAGTGTTGATTATATAATTTTTATTTTTATCTTTTTCCTACTCTTTGTTCTTTTTGTCTACTTACTTGTCTACTACTTAAGTGCATAATTATAGGAGAAATATAGAATATCAATTGAACATATTATTTTCAAAAATTATAATGAATCTTATTTCATATATTTATCAGATATTCAAAACAGAATATTTGTTCCATTTCTTATTTATCTATATATCGAAAATTAGTTTCAATCTCAATCATTATATGTTATAATCTTATTTTGAATTGCATTGACAATAATTAAAATGATAAGATCAAAATATATTATATCATATTTAAATAATTAATTTAAATAAGAATTTAAAAAATTAAAAACATTAATTTATCTTAATCTTCATTATTTTTAACAAATATATTATTTAGCTTATATAACATATACTTCTCTGAATGTATCTAAATAATATTATTTTGTACATGTATAAAAATAATTTAATCTCCAATAAAAGATTTGATAGTTCAGCAATATTTGTCAAACGATAATTTAATTTAAAACATATGAAATTAATGAAGAATATCAGTTTTGTTTCTAATATTTTTTCTATCATTGGATAATGTTATAGTACAATATGGATGAATATATGTAATATATATTTACGTTAATATTAATACATGAAATAATTAACTATAACTATTAACTATAAATAATTAATAACTATATATATATATATAACTATAATTTTAACTATGCCATTATAATGAAATATGGAAATATACCGAAGAATGTTAAATTTAATTACATCGATTCTAATTATTTTTTTATTAAATTAATTCTTTTTATAGAAACATTATATGTTATTATATTATATTTAAAAAAATATTATAATAAACATAATAAAATTAGAATTTATCAAAAAAACGATCATCCATATCGTTTTACTTATCACAATTTAATTTACAATAATGAATCGATTGTAATAAAATAAGCAAAAACTAAATGCGCTTGTATTATATTTAACAGCCATATTTTATGTTACAAAATTTACATTATTTCATATGAATAATAAATTACACATAATTGCAAACATCTATATACAATTAATAATAGACTAATAATTGATCGCCATTAAAAACATAGATAAAATGATTTTTATTTTTAATTTTATGAAATCATAATGAAAATAATAGATATATAAGCTGTTAGATTGTTAAAATAAAATGATTAAAAATAAAATGATTTTAGAAAGGTAAACAATTACATTAATTATGAAATTAACACATGATATGTTATATATTTTTATCATTTTTATAAGTAATAAAAACAAATTATTTTTTTAATTATTCTAATTTAAAAGATAATATTTTAAAATTTATAAAAAAAAATTATATTATTTTATGAATCCATGCAATGAAATTTAATGAAATATGTAATTAACAAAAAACTTTAGTTTTTTGTTTTTTTAAATACTTCAGTAAATAACCAAGTTATCGAAAATTTCTACCTAAAATTTTATTTCGAAATGAAACTTTTTTTTTCTTTTTAATTTTTTGAATATCAACAACATCAAAATGAGTCGTACTTCCAGAATTACTTGGTAAACTAAAATCTTGTTCTACAAGTATTTTTCTTTTTTTATTAGCATTAGATTCATGAGTTTCTAAATATTTTCTTTTTTGTATCATGTTATATGTTAAAGCATTTTCTAATAATCTTTGTTTTTTCTGTGGTATTTTCTCTAAAATTTCTTCTTTATCTTGAGAAGTAATATCTTTTAATAATTTCTGTTTTCTTTTTTTCCCCTTAATTAATTGCTCATTTGAAACATTATTCAATATATCTGAGAATTTTTTCTGTTTTATTTTAGTCATTCCTTTTATATCTGTGATATTTGAAATATCGTGAATTGCGCTTTCTATTTTTTTTTTCTTTTTCAGTTTATTATATATTTTTTCATCATGACTTTTTGATATTGTTTCGATAACGTTTTCCAATATTGGCTTTCTCATTTGTATATCAATATCATATGTTTTCTGTTTCTTCTTTTTCTTAGATAATTGCTCATTTAAAGTATTATTCGGTAAAATATCTGCTATTTTTTTCTTCTTTACTATTTTAGTATTTTTATTTGTATTCGATGGATTTAAAACGTTTTCATTTGTGTTTTCTCTTTTCTTTTTTCTTTTTTCTTTTTCTTCAGAATGTATTTTTTCATCTAAACATTCTGCTTTTGTTTCAATAGTGTTTCCAAATATTTGTTTTAATTGTACATCAGTATCATATGCTTTCTTTTTCTTATTTTTTTTAGATAATTGCTCATTTGAAATATTATTATTTAATAGAATATCTAAAACCTTTTTTTTCTTTTTCGTTATGTTAGTCTCCTCATTTGTTAAATTTGAAATATTTTCAATTGTATTTTCTTTTTTCTTTTTCTTTTTTATTTCATTATATATTTTTTCATCATAATTTTCCGATCGAATATTTTCAAATATCTTCTCTTTTATTTGTACATCAATATTACATGTTTCTTTTTTCTTCTTTTTTTTACGTGATTGCTCATTTGACATGTCATCACATATTGAAAAAACATCTGAAGCTTTCTTTTTCTTCTTTACTATGTTAGTTTTTTCATTTGTATTTATCAAATTTGAAACATCTTCAATTATTTTTTCTTTCTTCTTTTTCTTTTTTACTTCATTATGTATATTTTTATCAAGACTGTCTGGTTTTGTTTCAAGAATGTTTTCAAATATTTGATGTTCCATTTGAACATTATTTTCATACATTTTTTTTTTCTTTTTTTTTATCTTATTTACTTTTCTTATTTCATTATCATTATCATCATTAGTATTAATAAAAGGAACAATTTCTTTTGTTCTCTTTAACATATCTGCATTTTTATTCAATTGGAAATCACTTTCAAGTAATATAGGATCAATTGTTTCTTGTATTGTTGATTGTTTCTGTTTTTTTCGTTTTTTTCTACGATCATTTTCTAATATATTATTTGCCACATTAAATAATTTCTTTTTTAACGAATCATCTACTTCTTTAGATATTTTTTTATTTTTTTCATTGTCGTCTTCATTTTCTTTTTCAATTTGATCGTTTTTCTTACTACTATTAATAGTATTTGTTAATTCTTTGAACATAATATCTGATTTCAGTATTGGTGCACTTTCATTTAATTTATCTTTCTTCAAATATCTTGTTGTAGGTGTGTCGCTTCCCAAAACTAATGTTGTTTTGTTTAATCCTAATACTTTAGATGACATTGGCCTTGACAGATTTGTTTCTGCTACAAATTCAATTAATTCAGATGGAAGACTTCTATGTGCAAGACTTTCATCGCTTTTTAATTTTTTTAATTTTTTCTTTAGCGTTATATCTTTACTTTTTTCCTCGTCAAGAGACAAATTTTTCTGAACATCATAAGTTTTAATATTAAATTTGTCTTTGTTAGATAAATTAATTTTAGGAGTACTATATACCATTGATTCATTGACGTTTTCTTTTATATTTGAATTATCCATTTTGACATCAAGATCTTTTATTTTTTTATTAAATATTATTTGAGATCCATTTAATGATTTTTCAATATTTTGATCTCGCTTTTTATCCTTGCCCTTTTTCTTACTTTTTTTAACATTCTCTTCAATATCTAGCTCAACATTATTTTCAATTTCTTCATCTTTCTCCTCTTCTTTTTCTTTGTCTTGCTTTTCTTCAATTTCAATTTCTTCATTTTCTTTCTCTTCACTTTCTTCGTCTTCTTTTTCTTCAAATTCAATTTCTTGATCTTCTTTCTCTTCACTTTCACTTTCTTCATCTTCCTTTTCTTCAATTTCAATTTCTTCGCTTTCTTTATATTTCTTTTTTTCAATTTCAATTTCTTCATTTTCTTTCTCTTCACTTTCTTCGTCTTCTTTTTCTTCAAATTCAATTTCTTGATCTTCTTTCTCTTCATTTTCACTTTCTTCATCTTCTTTTTCTTCAATTTCAATTTCTTCATTTTCTTTTTCTTCATTTTCACTTTCTTCGTTCTTCTTCTTTTCGTTTTCAATTTCTTCATTTTCCTTCTCTTCACTTTCACTTTCTTCTTCTTCTTCAACTTCATCATCATCAACTATAAAATCTGCCATATCTGATCCATTATCATCTGGATCTGATGATTCCGTTTCTGATGCTCTACATTCATCTCCTGGTATATCATCATCGGAAAACTTCGAAATGTTTTTACCGTGAAAATTATATTCTTTTTGAATATCAGAATCTATACTATTATTAGATTCACTATCATTGTTCTCACTATCACTGGTTTCTGCAAATAAAAATTTAGGTATGTTCATGAATTTTTTTTGTGTGTCATCTGAATCAGAAATATCTTTACTTTTTTCAGAGTCCGATAAAATATTAGCTGTTGTTGAATAATTTTTTTTCAATTTTTTTCTTGTTTTATCTCTCGATGATTTTCCATCTGATATTTCCATATTTTGTAATTTTACATCTTCTTCTGCATCTTCTATATCACTTTTTACTTCTTTTTTTTCTTTATTTTTATTTTTTATACTTTTTCGTTTATTGCTAGTGGAAGATTTATTTTTGCTATCATTTAATTTACATTTATTTTCTAGTATATCCATCGATATTTCTGTATCATTTTCTGTTTTCATGGAATCTCTTTGTATTTTTAATATAATAGTATCATCTGAATCATAATCAAATATTTCTTTCTCTTTTTTTAGTTTTTCTGCAGATGAATATGCCTCTTTATCGACTAAAATAAGATCATAATCACTTTCCATTTGATTTTCTAATTTTTCAGTTGACAAATGTTCAGAATTTTTATCATATTCATTATTTTTTTCTTTCCATTCAGTAGCTGGAATGTCTTGAAATAAATTTGTCATATTTGTATCAGAATTATTATCACCAATTTGAATCTTTTCTTGATACTCTTTGGATATTGGTTTATTGATATCTGGATATTTTTCTTTTGATTGTAATTCATTTGTTTGTAATTGTTTTTTTAACATTAAAGAATCAGTAGAATTATCTAATACAGAATCTTTTTCTAAATATTCTTGTTTTTCAGATGCTACTTGAACCAAATCAGTAGATTCTGTAACAGGATAATTATTTTTGTTCAAATTAGTTACATTGTCTTCTTTTATATTGGTTACAATTAAATCCTCTGAACTCATATCAGTATTACAAGATTTTGATAGATCAGAAGATGAATTATTCATTTCATTTATTTTTTGTAAGTAATTCGTATCTTCATGTTTTGATTTATCGAAGTTATGAATATCAATTAATTTCATGTCTATTGAATTTGATAATTCTCTATTACTTAATTTAGGTGATAAAATCTCTTTCGTACAATTTATTTCATCATTTTCATATATAATGTCTGATGTATTTGATTCATTATTTCTATTTTTTATTTTATACTGATCACTTGTATTTTTATATTGATTTGTATTATTTTTTTCAGAATCATTTTCACTCATGTTTTCCTTCTCGCTTGAAATATCCATTTTAATATTTAATTCAATTTCACATTGGTCATTTGTAATTTTACATTGATTTGTACTATCTTTTTCAAAATCATCCTCATTCATACTTTCTTTTTCACATGAAATATCCATTTTGATATTCATATTATCAATTTCTTCTGATTTTTTATTTAATTTAGAATTAATTTCTATAGATTCATTATCATTTGCTATATTTATGTCTTTTTTATTATCATTTATATGTATAGAAAGATTTTTATCTGAATTTTCATTATATGGATTACCATTGCCTGGCTCTGTTTCTGGACTTGTAATTAATTTTTGCATATTATCAGAATTACTTTCTTGATTTATTGAAATACCCATACTTTTAACTGATAAATCATTAATTGAATCGGTTATATTTTCAACTTTTTTTAGAGAAACATTATCATTATCATTTGACACATCTGATAATTTTTTAGAACAATGTTTTGGTGTTAAATTTATTTTAACACAAGGAGATTTACATTTATCTTCATTTGAATTATTTGAAATTAAACTAGATCGTGGATTTTGTTGCGTATTATTCATGTTTTGTAAGTCAATAATAATATTTGTTGTAAGAATCTTTTTATTATTATGATCTTCATATTTTTCCAAAGTATCATTTAAATTCTCAAGTTCTGATTTCATGGATATATTTTGGTTTTCATTTTGTGAAAGTATTTGAGATTTATTTGATTTTTCTTTTATTGTAATATCTGGAGATAATGTTTTGTTATTTTCTAATTCTGCACTTTTACTATTATCTGCTATTTTTTTATTATCCATAATTAAATTCTTCTCAACATCTTCAATTTTATTTGAAGAAGAATTTTCTGGATCATTGTGTTGTGTTATCTTAACTGTAGTAAATGTAAATACAAATATCTGTTAGTTCTTATGTTAATTTTTACTAATAAAATATTATTAATAAAATCTTTTTGTTATAACGTTTTGTTAAACATTTTATTATTTTATATTATATAAAAAATGGAAAAAATATTATTATGATAAATTGCAATTTAATTGTGTAATTAATAGAACTAGAATAATAATCATATATCATAGATTATAGAGAATAAGAATAAATTAAACTTACCATCATTATCTAAGTATTTTTCACATATACTGTTATGACTTGTATCACATTTGTTTTTAGAAAATAACAATGAATCATCTTCTTCTATAGGTTTAAGAGAATTTTTTGAGTCTAAAAAAAATTTAATATCACAAAAATGTTTTAAAATTTAATGATATTATAAAATTAAAATTTTTAGAATTTAAGTATATTTTAATAAATATAAGATCTAAAAATACCTGATTGTGTACTTTCATTAATATCAGGTAATGTACGATTTAATGTTACCCTAGGAATTTTCATAGATATTCCTTTTTCTTCTGTAGTTACTTCTGAAAATATTAATGAAGATCGTCTTCTTGTTCTAATAGATGTACTTATTAATTCATTGCTTCGCTTTTCTGTTAGTTTATCAGATGTAGCTTCAGGTCCCATAGAACTAGCTCTTGTATTACGTGTGTTTCTTGTTGCTGATGGTGGTGAATTCGCTTCTGATCCAGCTCTTACAAGGCGTTTACTAAAAAAATAATAAAAAATAATGATAGATGACAAGATTTTAATCATATACAAATTATTGGTTATTGTACATACCTTCTTCGATTACCTATCATTTTATTATCATTATTTTTAGTTTTTCTTGTTGGTGTACCAATACCTGTGTCTAGAACTTCGCTAATATCTGAAGATACAGAATTTGTCCTAGAACGTAAATTTCTTTGATTTTCAATAGAAACCGTATTGTCCATGGTAATTAATCGTCGTCTTGGACTCCTTGAAGTTTGTGTATTATTAGCGTCGCTTAGAGACGATTCAGGTGAAAATTCATTTTGTTTAAGGTTTTGCTTAATTCGCGAACTTCTACGAAGTGGTGAATCAACCGATATTGTCTCAGTGTGGATACGATTTTTGCCATCTAAAAATTTAAAAAAAAGTAGAAAAAAATAAAATGATGTAATCAAATTTTAAAAAAAAATGTCAATTATATATTCAAAAAAGTTCTAAAATAAAAATTTATATAAAAACACGTTATAGAATTGATAAGAATATGATATTCAATGCTGAATCGACCGTTATATTCAGCGAAGTGAACCGCGTGCGCATAGAAACCCAAAAAATGAAAAGTACAAACCAGGCTTTCCGGCTATTTCTTCAACTGATTCTCGTAACATTTTTTATTATTAAAATATTAGTTTAAAAATATTTATATAAATAATAACAATACTCAATAAGTATATAACTATTCACTGACACGTGTTACAACAAATGAATTTAAATTGACGACTTGCTGAACGACCTTTTACTACATTGCGCGCGGAACATCCAGAGCATTCAGAGACACCAAGTGTCAAAATTTGGCGACATTTCAATTCTTTCCAAAAGACCGTTAAAAAATCTTTTTAAAAAACTTTTTTCGTGTATTTAAAAATTAATATCGCGTAAAAATAAATAAATAAATAAATAATTAAATTTAATTTTGATAATAAAGTTTTCAATTTTTACGAATTATTTTCCAATTATTCCAAAATAAAAGAAATAAACTAGTAAATGAATTAATAGAAATAATTAAGTAAAATGCACAATCAGAAATATAGAAATGATTTTAAATTTATTTTTAAAACTAATATTATGATATTTCATATTTTATTTTTACTATAAATGTTATTGATATCAATTATATAATATTGTTTTTATAAATTAAATAAATTTATAATATTAAATTTGAATATATATAATCATAAATATTATCATAATGTATTATATATGTACCTGTACATTAAAATTTATCAGGTATAATAATAACAATACTAAAAAGAAAGATAAAATATTTATTTTTTCTACGATTTTTCTACGATTCATATCTCAAGAAATAATATTTCTGTTATTACAATTTTCGACAATAGAATGACGTCTTGCAGTTTTTCTGAAATAATATTTAATCGTAGATTTGAATAACTTATGAGATATTTTGAGAATCAAAATAAATTAGAAATATTTGATTTTTTAATTTTTAATGTGAGAAAAATAATAAATGCATGAAAACTATATATGATTTCGTGGAGAAATTATTTTTAAAAATATTTTTATCGTGTGATGAAAGTATTTAATAATTATATTATTATTATTTACTAATCTTATTTTTAATAAAAAAATTTTAACTTTGTTTAATTTTTTTAAAATTTTTATTATTTTTTATCCTTATATTATTTCTTTAATTAATTTCATTAATTATTATTTTCATACAAGAATAAGAGAGATTATATTAATTGAATAATAATTAAATAATTGATTTTGTAAAATAATATTCATTAAATAAAGAAAAAAATTCTAAATATGGGTTTAAAATTAATAAAAAATTAATATTTTAAAAATTCATAAACAGTTTTTTGTTTGCGTTAAAACAAATGATTTGCTTGTTTCAAAATAGGGATTGAATGAAATTGTTAAAATTTTTAATTGTTTATGAAATATCAATAATTTTTGGTTTATTATCTATTTCATTTCAAAAAAATTATTTTAAATAAATTAATCTTTCACATCATCACATATCATTATATATTCACATTCTTATTGTCTTAAACCTAAATTTATTTACAAACTTTGAGAATATAATTTGTGCCATTTGTACATTACAATATATTTAGTTATAATGTATTTTTATAAAGATTATTTATTTAATAATTAATTCAAACATTTGCAAATTATCATACATTTATTTTCAATATTAAAATTTATCTATTAATGTGATGATTGTAAATATAAAAATATCTTTGCACAAATATTTATACAATAGTAGAAAGTGTTAGAAGTAATGCTTATAAGTGCTGAAAATATTAATATTGAATTATAATTAGTGTTAAAATATCATTAGAAAATGATATTTTGTTGAAGTTGATATATAATATCAATATAATAATCTAAATTATCTTATAACTAGTAATTAACTCTTTTAATTCGCAATTTATCATTAACTGTCATAACATAAATTAATATTACACAGCCATTTTTACAGAACTTGTTGAATTATATTTTAAGATAATGAAGTACTATTCATTATAAAATATAAGAGTTTATAACAAATACAATATCATATTGGTAATTGGATTTTACAAATATTCATAGTAGCATTTGAATAATAGGCACAGTTGATTATAAAATTTACAATGTTATAAACATTGTATATCGGAGATTAAAGCTATTAAATATATCTTCTCCTTCTTTTTTTCTTTTATTAAGAATAAATAACAAGAAAAAACAGTAAAACTTTTTAAGGCATTATTTTTTTATTAAAAAAAAAAGTGAAGGCAATATAAAATTTAAGCCGCCTTTAAAATTAAGAAAATTACTCTTGTTTTTCTGTCAGCAAAGTTGCAGCTTTAACTGTTGAAATAAAAATATATTTTAATAAAATTTAAAAAGAATTAATCTTATATTATATCTTAATATAATAAATATACCAGCATCTTGAGCAGATGATATTAACTCATCAACTTTTTGATGGTATCTTAAAAAGTTTGGTCTAATAATACAGTGATATAATATTAAGGAGCCATTACGATCAATAGGTGCCATTAGCCACATATAAAAGAGACACTGTAAAAATCAAAATCATATATAATTTATATTTTATATTTATAATAAATAGAATTAAAATATGTTGAAATTTTATACCTTAAAGAGCCAATAAACTGGAAACCAGCATAAAATATAATCTGAGAAAAATTCAACAATTGTAAAAACTGCAAAAACAACCCAATAGGTCAGCCACTTTGTATCATCTTCCTTTTTAGGAGTTTCTAAGGCTTTCATAGAACAATATGCAGGATATATAAATCCAAAGATATTACAAACTAATTGCTGACCTATACCAAATACCAAATATAAAGCTGAAAATCCAACAACACCTAAAAGAAAGGAAATAATATAATAACAAGAAAAATTTTTTATAAATTAATGATATCCTAAATTTTTATATATTTCAAAAATAAAAGAACCAAGATATGATCATTATAATTGAAAATAATCAATTATTATCGAATATTTATGAAATCTTATCCCATAAAATAACCGTATAGATAGAAATTTTTAATACAATAATTTTTGATATAATTAATTGTATGTGAAAAAATGTAAGAGATTTAAAAGTTTTTATTCTCAAGGATTACGATAGAATAATTGTATTCGTTATAGCTTCTCGTTACGTAAATCGGGAATAATTGGTTTATACTTTATACTATTGGGACAAAGATTGTCACAAAGAGTTCACAAAGTAATTCTAACGTTCGTACTTAAAAAAACGTAAAGTCGATCAACTCCTATTTTTTTTTCAACTTTGGCGAGATATTTTGTCCATAATTTGTTATCATCATGTAATGCCTTCTCCAAAGATTGTTTAACGGCTGCTATTCTCGCCATTTCGTTCGAATTTTCTATACACAAAATTACAAACGATACTTCTCTTAAATTTGCAGCCTCACTACTAACTTTACTTACATGCGAATCGATATCATTGGTAAACGATTACATAGAAAGGAATGCGAAGGTTATAAATGTGACATCTATCGTTGAAATAGTGAAAGTGAAACGTTAAAAGGAAAAGAAATTTAAATTTATTAAATATGTTTATGAATTATTTGATAATATTTGTATTATATCATATTTTATTTTTGGATAACTTTTATTATTAATATTTAAAAATTTAATGAATAAAATTTCAAATTTTTGTTATTATTTCTACATTTTCAATCATCAAGTTATAATAAATTATTATTAGCGACATATTCATCAAATTAGTTTTCAATCTATATAACATTAATTATAAAAATTAATAAATAAAATAAAACAATAATTATTAGGTATAATATCAAAGTAAAAAAGATGACATAGCCATATATAATTGGCAATATTCTTATTTTTATTATGAGATATTTTTATCTCATTTAACACAATTACACATTGTTCGAGCATTTTAACGCTATTATATTTCATCATAGATCGCTTATTGTTAGTGGGTGCACAATTCGATTAAATATTATCACATTTACAACTTGTTTTTCTTATTATTTTTTTCTTCTCTTTCTTTTTTATAAAAATACGTTCCATCATTATAAATATGAATCGATTCAACGTTTGACGGAAATACATAAATATGCGAGGACAATAAAAATTCATACTTAAAAATCTACATTCGATAAAAGTCTCGCGACATCGTGTACGAAACGAGTAGGAACATTTTAAGAAATTATTGTTTGGCACTGCAGCTGAATCACTGTATGTATATTTTCTTGTTCATTTTCTCTGTTGTTTCTTTGAACACGAATAGAATAAATAAAGAAGTGCTGATTCATACCTTGACCAAAGTACAAAGTATCATGTGTTTGCGGCAAATCATTGGTTGCTCAATGGTTGTCTAATTTGCATTATTATATTTCGCACTATGCATCATATGATTCGCAATTAATTTAGATTATGATTTAATAAAGTTACAATTTCTATCAATGATATTATACATATTATTACAATTAATATTAATACAAATTAAATTGATATTATCATTAATACAATTAACCGATAGAATTGAAATAAGAAGGTTGTAGATAGAAAAATTAAAATTAAAAAAAATATTTTTTTCTAAATATTATATCTTAATAATACATATCAAAATTTAATCAATGTTACAATACAGGAATATCCATCTACATAATTTTTATTATTTATCTCTTTAGAAATAATATTTCGATTACATCTTGTATGATATCGTTTCGCGATTATTTATACGTTGAAACTTTCATCAGGACATGCAATAAATAGAGCGATGATTTATCTCGCAAGATATTATCGCCAAGTGTTTCGTTCACACGCATTTCATCCTTTTTACAAGCATAGTTAATATTCGCTAGTTAACCTTATTTGCAATATATAATTATTTCGATCTCAATATTTATTACATCAATGTTCGTTATCGATTCATTATTTATTTGCCTCATAAAAATTATTGGTTGCCATAATAAAAAATTTTTAACAAAAATTTGATTGACAAATGATATTTTAATTTTATTAATCTAAATGATTTTTTACATATTTTTTTGTATTTTGATATTATGCTATATATTTTTAATTTTAATTATCATTGTAGCATAAAAATGTGATTGTTCTCGTTTTTCGTTATGATAAATTATGAACAATTGACATTTATTCTTTTATATTTTATAATTGTTATGGCACTTACGTTCTAAGTAAGACTTTAATTAATTTATCTACTTAAATCTAAAAATTTAGGGATTTATCTTATTTGAAAATTCAAGGTTTGAATCAAGCTAAATGATCGCAGCATCCATGCACTTCTTTATTTTTGATAAGATCTGATAATTAATTTTGCATTTGATCGAACAAGATATATGTTTATTCAACGAAGAATTATATTATAAATGTATATGTTCTTTTTGATTATCATATAATACAAAAGCGACATTATTTTTTTTTTTTTTGCAAAATAATAATTTAAACTACATCAGGCTTTGTAACAAACGAATAATTATTTTTTAGTATCATTAGTAAAAAAAAAAAAAACTCTTAAAGCTGTTTCCTCAAGCGATGATATTTCCTTATTTTTTTTCTAACAAGTAGTATATTATATTAATTTTTATCTTATTTATGTATACTTTTTACGCTCTTTGCATCGCTCTCATCCTCTTTTTTTCATGCTTACAATTTCATATTCTTATGTTTTTCTAATCAGATATGTATGTATGCATATCGAAGATATATATTTACATATTCTCGCAATTTGATGAATTTTTTAACCTTTGCTCAATTTGTTCAATTAGACAAACAACTTGGATTCAAGTAACTTGACTTCAAATGCGTGTCTATACAGGATGAATTACAGGTGATTTGAATTGAAATCGATTTGGCGTATTTGAGATATTCTTTTCTCTGAAAAGTTAAATATAGATTAATTTTTAAACTATTCGAGTTCGAAGATCTCGTTCATATTATAATGCGTATTTTGTCAAATTGTAATCATTAACATTATATTTTTAATTATTGTTAATAAAAAATAAGAAATATAAATATTTTTATCGAATGATAGATTTACAACGGTAATGAGTTTCAAATTTCTCAAATTCAAGTAATTTGTCTAATGTGAATGAGATCAAATGATTAATCGCTTTTATCATACGATCGATTATAATCGATATTAATTTTTCGATATTTGATCGATTTCGTTACAAAAGTACGTGATGTTTATTTACAAGTACACACTATTTTATCTTATATAAAAAAATTTTCAAGGTCTCATGGTGTAATGGCTAGCACTCTGGACTCTGAATCCAGCGATCCGAGTTCAAATCTCGGTGAGACCTTCGACTTTCTTCGTTATATTTTTTTTGATTCGAAATTTTCTAAACGATACGTTATTTTTTTCTTCTTTTCTTTTCTTTTCTTTCTTTTTTTTTTTTTTTTTGTTTATTATCAGCTCTTATGATTATCTAATACGTATATATTGCGAAATAAAATTATGTATGTACTTTTATAATTTTTCGTAGGAATGATAATAGATTATGATAACAGATTAAAGAAATGTTAACGAGAATAAAAATGTAATTCATTGTTATTATTTGATTGTTACATATTACAAATATGTGCTACAAATATTCTTTTCTTTTCGTAAATTTTTTCGTAAATTTAAAAATTATTTTATAATTTTGATTTTCCAAAATTTATTACATAATACTATGAAATATTTCTTATTTTTGATTGTACATTTATTTAATTTTTATTATTACAGAATTAATATTTTTTTTCAATGCAAAATTTAATAATAATCAAAATCAGATTATTAAAAAATAATAACTTGGACTTTATATCATCAAATAAAAAAGAAAGATATCTAAAAAAAAAAAAAAAAAAAAAATACATATGAAAATAAATTTAATTTTAACAAGAAAAGAATATTTTTACTTCATAAAATAATTATAAAATAATTACTTCATATTACAAAAGTATCTAACTTCGTTAGAAATGCCCTAGACACAGAATTATCGCTTAAATAAAAGTGAAATAAAGTCGTTAGAGAAACAATTAAAGAAATCCTTTAACTTTCAATTAAAGAAATCCTAAACCATAACTCTTTCCAAAACTTTCCAAAATGGCGTGTTGAAACAAAAGATGAATCCGAATCCCCTGATTAAACAAACAAATATCTAATCATTTGTAAAAAGAAAAAAAATAAAAAGTCGTTTTTTATTCGTTAGAGATATATTACGTTAGAAAATCGTACAAAATTTTCTTCACAGTTTCGGGGTCTGTAATAGTTTCTTCTCCATCGATCTCATTTTGATGCATTTGGCAAGGAGGGCTATTATCGTGAGCACGGCGCCAAGAAACGAGACTATCCCCAATACAACGAGCACCATAAACCAGTTTTTAAAACTGCCGATCCTGTCGCCGAAATCGCAATTACAATTCTCGCTCTCGTTCAAATTCAACGCTGAAAAGTTTACCGGCCTCAGAGAGATCAACTTGAAATCGTCCTGTATTTGACGTCTGCTGGTAGAATTTTGCGCCTTCTTTATGAACCTGTACGATATCGTGTAAGTGAACTCTTGGCCGTCGTAAGATCCCTTCGCGCTGTAATATTGTATTAACAACTCGTTGCCGCTCGAGGTAAGTGGGACTTGTATGTTATTGATGTCCTGGTGGGATACGTCGCAGTAAGACCACATCAAGATGCTGTTGTTCACCTGAAAATTTCGATATCGTCATGTTCTGCCTTTTTTTTTTTCTTTTTCCCCATTGGGGATAATTGTTACGATCCTTATATACATAACGGGAATAGTAGAATCGAGACGTGTCCTACGTATAGCGAAGTATAATAACAAAATAGAGAGAGAGAGAGAGAGAGAGAGAGAGAGAGAGAGAGAGAGAGAGAGAGAGAGTTACCACCGCTACATGTATACCTTATATCGATCGTGGAACGAGAAATTTTGTAAATAATAATAAAACCGTTTTTCTGATTTGAAGGAAACGAAGCGTTCGATTGAATTAAATTAAGGTCGGGGAAATATTTTCTTTATTTCGAATTTACCTGAACTCGTTAATTCCTAATACCGTTAATTCCTAATACGTTGGTTACTCACCTCGATCCCATTGTAAACCGCGATCTCGTTCCCGGAGCAATAATTCAGGCTGAAGTTCCGTTTCTGTGGCGCGTACTCCTGATCCGGCTCGTTTCTGATTATCTTCATATGAACGTAGATCCTCTCCGACGATCTGCCCATGAATTTGTAACTGCACAAAGTATTGGGCGGATACCAGCTCTGCAACGACTTGATGCTCTCCCTCGTCCTCTCGCTGCTCCTGTACACGAACTCGCAATTCTGATCGTTTCCCAACGCGTGCGCCTCCTCCGTTTCCTGGAACGACAATTGGAAACCGTCGTGCATCACGGTCCCGTCCTGCTCCGCGAAGAACTCGACCACGATGTTCCTCCCCCTCGAAAGGATCCGTGGCACCTGGCCCTCCCCGCAAAACTTGGAGATCTCGAACATCTTCCCGTCCACGTTTTCCAACAATGTCAGATAATCGCCCACGCAACTGGTGCTCCCCAACTTCTCCGATCCTCGCCCCTTCTTTCCGTATCGGTACTCGGGAACCTTATTCAAAGAAAAAATATATATATATATAAAATTCAATGTTTATTAATTAATTTAATCAATTCTTTAATTTAATTTCATCGGCTCGATTCGATCAAGTTGATATAATCGTCTGGATTCGTATCTATATTCTTTGCGTGCGTACAGAGAACGTTTAATCAACTTGTCCCCGCAAAGAAACTTGGCGGGAACAGTTTAGAGAGAGTTTAGTTTATTAGTTATTGCATCCTTGATCGGGGAATTAAAGCGCGACAATACTTGGCGAAATAATTCTCGCCTTCATTTGACTAGGAATCATCGACGACGATAGTTGAGAGAAGGAAACGAACACAAAGGAACAAAATGAAAATTGTTTTAAGACTGTTTAATTAATTCAATAAATTTTAATATCTTAACCCTTTGCGCTCCAAGCTGACTCTCTGACAGTACTGGGATTGATGCGGCAACTTGAACGGCGACAATATTTATTTATGTTTGGTAAATAGGTTCCTAAGCTCTTTACGTATAATCTTATGAGATGTAGAATAATAATATATTATTAAATGGCTAGATTTTTTATCTCAAATTAGACCGTGATTACGAGTCGAACGACATCTTTGGCGTTAGTCTGAGTTTGACAGTCGTGGCGATAGAAATATTATTTTCAAAGTTTTTGAGATTTGTAAGCATGGAATACGGTAATTAAATTAGTTGAAGCGAAGATGAGTTTGATTTTTCGTTATTGAATGACAAAATTACTTCTATTCGTAAAGAAATTAACGATAGAGAGAGCAATGATGAACATAGAGATGAAATAAGAGGTATAAGAAAAATAAGAATAATAGATAGTGAATGTGAAAGCAATCAAATGAAGATATCGCAGAAGACATGGAAAATTCTAAATGGATAACACGCATAGAAAATATATCGCGAAGAATACAATTTGTAGGACCTCGAGTATCTTCGAAAAAATAAATGAACCATTAAATTTTTTAAAACTATCTTTTACCGATGAACTTATTAATGAAATAGTGCTCTACTTGCCCTGACAAACCGAGGATTCATCCTGATAATAGCTTCGTAAAATATCACACAAAACAATATTGTAAATTTCAATATTCGATAAATTTTATTTCTTTATATGTAAAGATACATAAAATATTAAAATATAAAAGTTTTACGCGTTAATTTTAATATCTTATTAAAATTTAAAAAAAAAATTTTTAAAATTAATAAAAAAAAAATTTAAAAAAATTTTAATATCTTATTAAAATAATAATATCTATTATTATCTCAATTTGTGCGTGAAATCATTATAAATTAGCTGTAAGAAACCGAATACGCTGATCCGAGTCTAGAGTTGCTGAATTTCGACCGAGCGAAACAGACCTAGAGTGCAAAGGGTTAATATTATCTCAAAAAAACGAAAGAAAGAAAGAAAAAAAGAAAGAAAGAAAAGGCAGGACAATCCTTGAAAAATCAAAATCAAAATGACAACTCACCTGCAACGCGGTCATCTTCTCCTTGCCCGACCCTTTCCTCGCGACCTCCGCGTGCCCCCCCATCCCATCGCTCGGTATCCTCGCGTCCGATACATCCCCCGGATCGGGGGATGTATTCCTCCTTACCGAGTCCATGGACTTCTTGCGAACCACGCGCTGCGGGTGACGAAGTCGCTTCTTCTGGACACCCTCCCCCCGCCACCTCCTTATCGCCTGGCCCCCCCGATAAGGAGCCTCTCCCCCCTCCGCACCTCCGACCCCCTTCGCCCGCCCCGTATTTCTTCTCCGGATATCCTCGCTCCCCCCCCCATCCTTCCTCGCTTTCTTAAGCCTCCTTCGATTATTTCTCGCACCCCCCCTCCTCTCCCCCCTGTACGACGTCTGCCCGATGATAAATTCCACCTCCTCCTCCCGATCCTCCGGGCTCCTCCGCCCGCGCCTGTTATCCCCGTCCGTCGAACGTCCACTGCCACCGCCGCCACCACCGACCCTCGCCCTCCGCAATTCCGCGACCACCTCCACGTGATCCTCGCAATTCTCCGTCTGGCAGCCCTGCTGCGACGTACGGTTCATCAGATCGTACGTGTCGTCCGGTTGGCCGCCGATCTTGAATCGACCAGCGCCCGATTCCAATCCTATCCTGCACTTGATCCCGCGCGGGTACACGCCCGGGTAGCCGGGCGAGGAAAGCTTGCAGGATCGTCGATCGTTCCTCACGGCGCACTCGAGGGGGCACTCGGACGAGGGGGACGGGGAGAAGCCGCGGTGACGCTCCGAAGCGAGCTGGGCGGGAAGTATGGAGAACTGGGCGGAGAATATCACGGGATTCTCTGCTGCGAACTTCACGTCCGAGTCCATTATGATCGTCAAGTTGGGCCCCTTCCTCAGGAACAGTCTGTCCGGGGGGATGATCGAGAAATTGAAAAAAAGGGTTTGATAAAAGGGTTCGAGATCGGGGAGAATTTTTTATTTGGATCGGTTGATTACGGTAATGGGATAACGATGCTCGTTTTATAATGATGTAGAGAAGTGTAGAGGAGGTGGAGAAACGAAATGTCAGATCTCGTCAGATTGATACATTTGAGGTTTCGCCGATCCGTGTATGAAATGGCTCGATATATATATATATAGCAGTGACCGCATAATGTGGTAATGAGACGGTACGGATAATTAATTAAATTGTGAAATAAGTTACAAACGGTAATTGTGTAATGAAAGTAAAATTTAATACGGCCGTGTATTATCACGGCTAATTATCTTTCCAAACCAATTTGTATATATTATGTTCGTATGAATTAGGATGTTATTAAATGTATCGAGGTATAATTATATATACGAGTAGGATATATCGATGAAAAGAACCGCGAGAAAGTAGGAGAGATGGTGAAAAATTGAAATTGAACGCGGTTCGAAATCATCGCGGGTCGGGAGGGTGGGGGAGGAAATATTTACACGCATTAAATTGCCGTGTTTATAAGCGGCTTGGAACCGCTACATTTCGACCAGCAGGCATCTGTTTTAATCCATTATCCGGCAGAGGTGTGCAACGTTCGGTTTACAGCCTGCTGTGAATACTATTCCAACCGGTTAATTATTTTTCATTAACGATCCCCACCAATCATTCCTCTCTTTTGTCCATTTCGTATTTTCTCCTGTATTTTATTATACTATACAGAGCTCTGAGGTACAACACGCTTTGATAATTATTTATTCTCAGTAATTGAAGAGTTACTTGTATTTATGAATTTTTTTTTTTTTGATATCGATACGTACACTCAGATGTGATCAGAATATCGTAGAATAAGAAAAAAAAAATGGAATATTTATATTTATAAGAGTATAATGCAATAAGCGAATGTATTTCACTTGAATTGAGATAATAAGCAGAGAAGAAAAACTTTCTAACGATCTCTCATAATGATTTATATTGTACGTATACATATATGTATATATATATATATATACACGAATTGTTTGCAATGGTAATATTTGCATGTATAATAATTACGTAAGAGGAAGTATTCCTACCTGGTCGTGTTGCCACTCACGTAGCCGCAGTAACGTCCTGTTTCATCTTCAAGGTCCTCGCTACCATCGGAAAATTGAATGTAAGCACCCTCGCATCTGGTTTCTTTCAGGAAACCAACTTGCAGCTTCCTAACTTTCAACTCGATCACCTGTGTAGAGTCAAATTTTAATCGTTTCTTTTTAATCGTTTTTTTTCGATATTTATCCAATTTGCATTAATATATGATATTTTATATCACGATGCGTATAAATTTTCGTTTGCATTTTAAATTTTAGAATTCTAAATTTAATCTTTTTTTCGATTATTTTCTCAATCGATAGATCGTATTTTTATCGATCTAACTTTCAACTCGATCACTTGAGTAGAGTCAAATTTTAATCGTTTCTTTATTTTTCTTTTTCTTTTTTTTTTTTCGATATTTAAAGTTATCCAATTTGCACTAATATGTGATATTTTATATCACTATGCGTATAAATTTTCGTTTGCACGATTTTAGAATTCTAAATTTAATCTTTTTTTCGATTATTTTCTCAATCGATAGATCATTTTATTTTTATCAACCTGAGGATCTCTAGGAGGCGCTCTGATGCGAACAATGCATCGTCCCATTCGTCCTGTCCAACGTATCCATCCAACGGAATTTCTGATAGTGCGATTGCATCCTGCGAAACAAATTTTAATCCTGTTTTAATCCTTTGCGCGACAAAATTTAACCGGCTAAAATTGTCACTGCAACAGGAGAAACGTTGCAAAATTGTTTATCGTGTTGCGTGCATGAAATTGAAAAATATCGTTTGAAATTCGAATGAGAAAACTGACAAATGCGAAACGTAACATCTAATTATTTATTCTGTTGCGCACGTGTTATTTTTTTTTTTCGAAAACATTGTTTTTTAACGAAATAAAATTTACTTTTACTCGTTGCGATGATATGAAAAAAAAAATATGCTTCGTATTTTTCAAACAAATTTTTAAATCTTTAACGCCATGCGACGTCATTTCGCAAGAAGATGCAAAGAAAGGATTAAGGAAACTTGAATAATTGCTTTTTTCTTTTTCGTAATGTTATCAATATTGTTTGTGCGATATAAGTATTATTTTTAGTCGTTCGTAGAAACAAAAGAATCAAGCAAATATGCTTGATTCCACAAAAGGAATTGTAAAGTAGCAGTTAAGTGGATTAAAGTCAAACGGGGAAAGGATAGTCGTAGTAAAGCGAATTTAAGCGTAGTTAAGCAGTTCTCTTTCGTAAATTTCTCTGTAACATTTCAACAACAGTTCAAAGAAACGTAAAACAACTCGTTAATATACGTTTCCTTTTAATAATAGAGAACAACTTCTCGCGATGAAAAGAAAAAAAAAAAAAGAAGAACAAGATTCATTGCTATACGTCTGCAATAATCAAAATCATTTCGATTCAAATTCAAACCTATCAAAAAGATGAATTTCTAAATTATTTTAAGCTATATATCAAATTTACACAATGATCCTCGCAATTAATATTAATCTCGATTAAAAATCTTCCAACTTTTAGAAATTCAAAAATATCAAACAATCACAACATAGTCTTTAATAATTAAAAATTTTTCTCGGCAATGGTTATTAACCAATTTCAGAATTATTTGGAAAATTGTAAAAATTAATCAAAATCATCTCAATTAAAAACCCCATTACTTTCAAAAACCTAAAAAAATATCGAACGATCCTTTAGAAAAGATAGAAAAAAATATTATTTCCTCGCAAGTGAATCTATCGTTCCAAAAACCGCACCGTCGCGTGTTCCTAAAACTCGTAATATAATCTTTAATGAGCGAGGATCTTTCCCCCACGCAACGGTCGGTAATCCGTAATACGCGTTTCGAATATGGCATAAAGTCAAAGAAGCGAATCGTTAGAGCGGGAAAAGCTACTGTATCGGCCGGTGGCAGGCGGGCGTAATTCACGGTTATATCGTTACCCGCACAACGCTTCCATTGTATCGCGCAAATAATACACCGGCCGTATCGCATCCGCGCCACGAATATTGTTAGGACAATCGCGCAAACAGGCAGGCTTAACGTTTTGCCCGTCGTCGCTCGAATGTCGTATTAAGTACTGCGCACCGAGCCAACCAATCGAGTCGCGTCACAATTTAGAATAAACCGCGCATCGCCCCTCCCCTCTCCTCGCGTCTCCCATTTCTTTCCCCCGGCCAATATCAAATTTTCACAAATCTCGTAAAATTTCGTCACCGAAACACCGCTATTAATATTCGATTATCACCGTTGAACACCGTTTAATCCGACCGATATTAAGATAAACTAAATTTATAAACGGGTCGATAAGCGGAATCGCGTTATCGTCACCAAAATAACGGGGGAATTGTTTTCACAGCGTAACTGCTAATATCGTCACTTGAACGGCTCGTTAATTAAACGGATATCCTCTCTCTCTCTCTCTTCCCCCTCCACTCGGTCCCTCGTGCAAGGCCTTGAAACGATGGCCGCCGATATCCCGCCGCCTATACTTCTCGTTTGCCGGGCTAATCCGACTATTTTCCACCTACGCACACCCCAACGACCCCTAATATTCGCGAATATCGCTCGATACGCAATTATAGTGTGCCACCCCTTCCCCTCCGCGCTAATGAGATTCCCCACTGGATCGAATGGGCCGGTTAAAAATTTTTTCGTCGCGTAGCGCTTTGAACGATCCTTTGCCTCCATTGTTTAGGGAGATTCGAGGGAAATGGACGAATTTTAGGGATTCGAGCGAAATAGGGGAGGTGACTCGAGAGGACACGATTTCGAAATTAGCTTTCCCGATTTTTCGATCCCTTTGGATTTTAGGATTCGTCACATTGCTTTCAAACATTGCTCGTCGTGGTTGTAAATTGTGGTTAAGGAGATTTTTATTAGAAATGAGATATATTTAATGAATTGTCGGGTATGGAAATTGTGTATACGAGGTTTGAAAGAGTTGATTGTACATTTGAATGATGAATGAGTGAAATGGGGCGAGGTAATGATAAAAAAAAAAAAAATAAAATAAAATAAACGAGTGAAGAGATACCGATGAATATAATGAAAGAGCGGATAACGAAAGGGGGAGGTAATTAATTAAATTTCATATCGTTTGCGTTCACTCGTGTCGCCTTTTTGTTTCGCTGCTATTTTTTTCTTCTTTTTTTTTTTTTTTATTATTTTTTAACTTTACATATAGATCGTAAATAAAAAGTGAAATATCGTATTTTTTTCTATTTGCGATTAATCAACGAGATTGTCGTTTCAAATGGAAAATCTTTCAACAGAATGTGTATTTATGAAATTAAGATAAGAGTTAATATCGAGTTGTAAAAGATTACTATTTTTTTATTTCAACTTTTTACACGGTAAATAATACCAAATAAGTGAGGTAAATTAGGTACTCGACAGCTTATTCTACACGTCCATCGTGTCGAATCGTAAAATATGATTTAAAATGCCTCTTTAATGCGTTGCTTCTTGTATCGATAATTAAAATTTTGACGTTTCATTATTTACATAATAATTTACGCGAGTGCAAAATATTTATCGAACAATTTCTTTAATGCTCGAGCATTACGAGTTTCCACGTTGAAATTGGCTTTCAATGTTAAAATTTTTACGTTCGAATTTTTATTGAAGCAAAAAAATAAGGAAAAAATTCTTCGCGCGAGATAAAGCGAAATTAAAATCAAAAGCCAAACGTTTTTCGTATCAAATTGCTCGAAAACACGGGAGTTTTTTTAAGGATTTATTAATTTTTTTCAAGCATAGCCGCATTTATTTAATCCGTCTACCTTTCGAAGAGCGAACATTACGTTAAGAGATAAAATAATTTTGCCTCGTCAACGGCAACGAATTCTTTAAAAAGCTTTATGCGTTTACGATATTAAAGGCATCCCTTGATGCTTTCTAACGAAATAACGCGTCATTTCGTTTCATATCCAGCATTGAATTAAAATTCATCGTTGAATTCTTCGATCATCTTAACAATCAAGAATATTGCTGTAACTTGAATTTCCAATTTGTTAAATTCTTTATTGAATTCGTTATTTTCGAATATCCCTACACATATATATAAATTTTATAAAAATAACGAAAGCTTTGAGAATTATGCATTCAAAATCATTACTCGCAACGGACACGAAACAAAAAGGGGATTAAATAAACGAGATGAATAAGCTGGCGTAATTGAAAAATATGAATACGTTAAAAGTACGATAATAATAATAATAATAATAATAATAATAATAACAAGAATAATAATAATAATAATAATAATAATAATAATAATAATAATAATAATAATAATAAAGGATGTTTGAGTTACGAAATGCGTTGGCATTTACATTTTTCTTTTTTTAAGATTAAAATCCATTCTCCTAACAAATGTGCTTCGTGCTTCGCACGATTGACGTCGAAAAAAAAAAAAGGGATGAATAGGGGCAGCGATGAAATATTTGCGAAAATTCTCATTAATGTAAATGAAAAAAAGAAGAAAAGAAAAAGGGGGAGTGGAGGAATAAAAACATACGAATGCATTTCATCACGGAAAATTTTATCTCTAATACTTTTTATTTATCCAACAATCCATTTCATCATGGATAAGCTTTAATTCGTACTTACGAATCATTTTCTCTCCCAATATATCGTGAACAATATATATCGTTCGAACGAATTTGCAAGATAAATATTTTTTTATTCTCATAGATATTACATTACAAAGAAGAAAAGAAAAATAATTGGCGATTTATATCATTAAATATCATTGAGAAGAATATACCCATAATACAAATGATTAATGAACGTGTTCAATGTGTGATTAAATAATTTCGATAAGAACGAATAATTAAACGATATACGGAATCAAGAAATTCAGGGACAGAGTGATTTACGAATACATCCGTTTAAACCGTAGATCGAAAGTTCAGAATTTACGATTCTTATTTCGACCATTTCCTCGTCAGACTCATCAACTCAAATCATTTATTTCGTCGCGCCTCGATAAATCACCGGTTTCGTTCATCTCACGAAATTTCGTTCCTCGAAACCTCATCAATTTCTCCCGAAACGAAACGAAGAAGAACGAGAAGCGATGGAGAAAGAGAGACGCAGAAAAAGAAAAATAGACGAGTGGGTAAGAGAGAGAGAGAGAGAGAGAGAGAGAGAGATTATCCGACGTAAACTAGTTAGTTTCGAAGGATATTCCCGAGGATGACGAGATCCTGTTTGCGCAAACAACATTTCCATATGTCTTTCCTTCATTTCTCCTGTGGAAGAGCGATCATTCGGACGGGATTTTTCAATATTTTTCACATTGAATATATTTTGCATATTTTTACACAAACCACGTAATAATATATCGCGTAACATTTTTACGAGATGCGAAACAATGAAACAATTTATTAACGAAGCCACGAGAAAATAAATAAAAAATATACACGATGAAAATGACAAAAATCGTGTAGAAAATTTTAACATTAACGAAAATTCGCGATCTTAAGTAATTAAACGTCGCGTTGGCCAGGGACGAGGAATATATGAATCTTCGTTGAAGGCACAAAGCGGTCATTCATTCCGCTTGCGGATCAACCGATTAGGATCTGACCGACCGCGATAGAAATCATCATCCCCGAAAACGGTGGTGTATTCACGTTGAAAACAGGATCTTATTTATTCAACGATTCTCCTCGGTCCGAAGGGCTAATGAAATTACTCTAGAGGCCGACGACCGGCTAGAGTTTACCAGCTAATTAATTGGCATTGATGCAGCCAATTCCATTGAAATGAAGCGCTCCTCGTCGATGCTATTTCCTCTTTGCGACTCTTATGTTCTCCTCCAACCCCTTATTATATCTCTCTCTCTCTCTCTCTCTTTCTCTCTCCGTCTTTCTCTCTCTCCATCTCTTTCTCCACCTCTCTGTCTACCCAACACGGTCGACCCTCTCGATCAGTCTCCTTTGCATCCTGTCGTTCCCCGTTCTCGCCTTATCGTCAGGAATCTATGATACGGACAGACCTTTTCAACCGTTTTCGCCGTTTCCTTCCTTTTCATCCCCTCCACCCTGTTACCTTTCTTCTTTTCTCCTTTTTCCTCCCCCCTCTTCCATTCCTCTCTTTCTCTCTTTCTCCTCCATTCTATTTCTCTCTCTCTCTCTTTCTCTCTCTCTTTCTTTCCCTCTCTCTTTCCTCCCCGCTTTGTCCATCAGAGCGCCGATTGAATTTCTACGGCTAAAATGCGGCCATACTAACTTAATGGCGCTTTCAAACCGTGATGCACTTGATCCAGTTTAATTTTTTTTCCCCCTCGGGGTGATTGTCTCGATTTTTTTAACGGCGAAATTACCGCTGCCCCCGCGACGATTTTTTTTTTTTTTTTTTTTTTTCAGTAGTGAGGCGAGCAGCCCGCCACCACGCGGCTCTATATATTTTTATATCATTCTCACCGCTGGTTAATACCGCGACAGCGTGCACCACTTTTTTTTCACCGCGCCTGTTTTTCAAAGCCATTCCCGTCCCCAAGCCTCTCTCCTTTTCTTTGATCGACAATTTCGCGAACGTGTACGCGGAAAAAAAGGAAGAAGGAAAAAGGAAAAAAGGAAAGAAAAATTACGAAGCCAAAGGAGCGTTGATAAATTAAAATTCTGCCCTCTTTTAATATATATATATATATATAATTTATATGTATGTATATATGCGTGCCTTTTTATAATTTAATGGTCGATTCAGACAACACGCAAGCGTTCAAAGCAATGCGAATCGTCGAAATAGCTATTTGTACGCCAATTGAAAGAGTGAATTTCGCTATGCCCGGTATTCGTTAAATTACGATATCGAAAAATATGCGGTACATGAAATCGGCTATTTCACAAGGGTCTGAATCAGGCTCGCATTATTCGGTATTACGGGAATTGCGAGATATTCGATAGGATGGAACGAAATGTATAGGCGAAATTCTTTCATTATGCTATTCATGGAGTTTTGGTAACGAGGAAAAATTCCCTTCTACGATACAATAATATTTGAATTTGATATCGAATTTGAAAAATGAAAATTTGTAAATATTCTTTTTTTTCAAGACGAACCATTTAGAGACAATTATTGTTACGTTTCGTTTGATTGGTTAAAATTTGTTTCTTCAATAATAATTAGAATTGATTAGATCAGCGTGTAGAATATTATGTATATGTGTGTACAAGTCCTTACCGAGCGAAATGCTATTTCCTGTTTGGGCGCTTGCGAGTGATTTACGAGGGGAGCGTAGTACGTTCGACTCATCGATTCAGGTTTTGCCCATATTACATAGCACACTGTGTACGTACCAACGTTGTAAAATTTATACGTAATCTAAAAAAGATTTGGTTAAAAAAGATTGCTTTAAATTTCAAAGCTGCCGCTAAATAAGATATCAAATAAATCTCCAAGTAATTTTTATTTCAAGACTTCCTCTATTATTTCTTCTACAATTTCGCATTCACCGTTCCTTTCATTTACAAATATCTCCTCACATGAATGCCTCGGATTTCCGCGTCTCAAAGCGGACGGAAATCATCTCTAACAAACCACACGCGTGCACTGACGCGATGACACTGTTAAAAAATACCTTAAATTTCCCTCCGAACAAAGGGGGTCTAATGAAAAAGCATCGGAGTGTCCTTTTTAACGGGTCTTCCATCCAGCTCGAGGCTCAATTTTAACACGGTTTGGTCGTACTACTTGCCAACAATCGCGGGTCGTTTGCGAGATAATTTAGTCGCGTGTTGCGTGTGGTGGAACCTTCCAAAAAAGAGAGAGAGAAAAAAAAAGAGAATAAGAAGAAAAACGAGCACAAAAGAGTAAATGTAAATTCGTTTTTTAACGAGATATTTCCATAGGTGCGCGGCCTGCGAGAAGATTGCACTCTGTTGGCGAGACGGGGAAACGAAATCGTCGAACTAGTCGAGACTGAGATTCCTCCCTGTTAAAACGACGTTAATCCCTTTTATAATAATATCCGCGTAGATTGAAGGACAACTTAATTAGCCGAGATCGTTAGAACCCCCGTGAAAGACCACGACGATGCTCCCCACCGGACTAGAATTCGCCGATTATGTGGAGAATAACCTTCGTTCCTATTATAGATTCATTTTCAGGTTAGAAATAAGCGTTACGATCAGTCTCGTGCGGGATTCACGTGCTCACATTATTTCTTTTATCGAAAATGACAGTAAAAATAAAGAGAGATAAGTATTCTAATATAATTCTAATGATTAGTGCTTTTAATAAAATTTTTTGTTGGAATATAAGAAAGCGAAATAGAGAATTCGAAAATATCGAATTGACTCGAGAATTTCGACTTTCTCGTAAAGATTAGGATTATTTTTTTAATTTTTTATACAAAATTATTCAGTTCTTTAAAATTCTGAAAAATTCTGATTTTATTTTAATCATCTCGAAAAACGATGTTTTCGAACTATGAGATACTTTCGAGATCCGACTCGATACGATTCGACCCGATCTTTTCCGATCTGTTCCGATCTATTCCGAGCGTTCCCGATATTTTCGGGTTCTCGCACATCTCTAAAGCGAAACAACAATTAATCTATCCAGAGGATAAAATAATAATATAATAATAAAACAAGAATATCTCTCGGGCATTGTAAACTTAGTTTAATATAAACTTAACGTAACGAACATAACCTTAACCTAACTCAAATCCAAATGTCTAACCTTTGAAAAATAACAGAGAAGTAAAATTGAATTTACATCTAACTAAAAAATAATTGAATATGTGTTTACATGTTATATGTTAGAATTGTGTTTACAGTGTTACAAAATAGAATTTTCTGTGCAACGAAGAAACACTTGTGCAACGAGCAGGTTGAATTAATTTTTTAATTTCAACGAGACTTTCAGACGGTAAGAGGAATAATAAACGAGGAATCTCTTACAAATTAGATTAAGATAAAACGTCGTTAAATGGAGAGTTTCTTGCATAATTTCACAGAGCACATGGCAACATTTCACGAATTGAATTCGGACGAGGCGTGTATTTCCATATGCAACTGTATGGCCTTTGAATACGATCGAACTGGACGATAAACTGGCGAGAAATTAGCTGGTATAAATCACACGCGGAATACTATAATGACAAAATCTAATGTACAGGCGCCGTTGGGAGATCGGAGTTCAACTAATTTTCAGAAACTCTAAGGATACAATCGTCCAAAATTAGATGCAATCCCCGGGAGAACGGACGAAAATCCACCAAGTAACCAAATATCCTGAATCGAAATGGTTCTCTTTGACATACATATGTAATATGTAACGTAATATCATATACAAGAGATAGATAGAGAAGAGAACTAGAAGTTGAGAACTAGTAAGTTGATTAAATTGATTGCTTTCATTTATTTTTGTAATTACTAAATATAAGTATTTTCGATAAAATTAATATCATTTCAATTACTATTTTATTCTAATTAATCATGCATGATATATGACATTATTACAGATAATTTTAATATCAAAGAATAAACCGTGTAAGAAAGAAAAAAAATCAAAATTTTTGACTAATTGTGGAATACTACAAGCTCGAATAAAAGTTTAATATGCTGCGCGGATACAATAACGAGTATCTGGTTATGGATATTATACATTCTTAATTTATTTAACTTATTCTCTCGACGAACGAGATATTCTTTTTTTCTTCATTTGCAGAAACTTCATTTCAATTACACTGGAAGCTGTGTTCAGGAAGTTTAATATGCAATTATCGTTCTGGAATAAATGAAAGAGCAGTGTCAATCGAGGAAAACACGAAGGTTAAAAACAATTGACTAACGACATAAAGGAATACGTAATAAGAGCATACGAGTCAAAGGTAAATGTTCGCGTTAATAGGCAATTACCAAGCAGTTTCCGCGTGGAACACGTTCCTCTCGATGAAAGCCTTACGCTTGCCGACCGTATAATCGAAAATTAGGGTGCAGTTAGCAAGTGCTTAAGCAACAACTGTTTATTGATATAGTTAATGAATTTCCGCGCAAACTTGTTGTGTCTCGATAAATATCATTGCACGACTCGTCGAAAATAAATTTTGCTCGAACGTAGGAGTCGGTTCTTGAAATACAAAATGGAAAAATATTATTGAAATAATTATTTCTCCACTTGTTCGTTCATAGACCACTTGTGTAATAAAATATAACGATCAATTGATGTATGTATCATTTTGAAAAATTCTAAATTTAAATTATTATTTTAAAAGCTATGTAATTAAACCTCGTTATTAAAATTAAGTTTTTTTAATGTGACTAATGTTAAATAAATAATGGAATAATTTGTAAGAGAAGAAATTTTGTATTAACAGTTGAAGATTATTTAATAATATAAGAGAGATGACAAAGTTGTATATTTATTAGAATAATTCTGCTGGTAAAATATTGACAGATGGTCCAGTCTCCATTATATTACGTCGACGTTAATAATTAATTAGATCGTAATAGGAAAGGAAAGGGACGGTCAATTACCTATTACCTCTAACTATTTACGAAGAATTTTTGCTGCTCAAGTGAATCGTTCCCTGTACAATTTCATTTTCCTTGTCACTTGAAAGTTAATTTGATATAGAAAAAATTACAGCGTTTATCAATAATTTCGATTCCAGAAATTTCTAGAAAATTTCGATTTTCAAACAAAAAAAATCCTTTTATTTAACCTTTCATTTATAATTATTTTCTTACGTATTTTTCATCGTATGACAAATTTCTCGATACTAAAATCTACATTTTTTTCACAGTTATTCTCTATAATTAAAAAAAGTTAATTTAATAATCACAATTAAAAAATTGTCCATTCGTAAGCGTGTATATTAAGAATTGTGCGTACTACGATCCATCCAATGCAGACAGAAAGCGTTGGATCCATGTGCTTTAAAGACACAGTGCTTTGGTGAAGGTGGGATCAAAATTGATCCGCTATGCATTATCGTTATTACATTAAGTGGGTCGGAGTATAACCCGCTAAGCTTCAAAGGCTTATGCCGAGAATTGAGTAAAGGTCGGTTATTTATAGGCCTATGGTGGACACTAAAATCCGAAATTTCGAGGAAGGCACGAAATGATTCATCACTACGTCACTAAAAATCTTTGTGTTATCGAACGGTTATAAAAGTGATTTTATAGTATATATATTTATCCAATGGATTATTATAATTAATAAATTATTACATCTCTTTTATATAGAGATGGATTGTAACTCGATTCACGAAACTCGAATCCAAAATTTTGCGAGATATATTTTCAAAACTCTTTCTGGAGAATCGAAACCTTCGAAAACTCGGAATGTTTATTTTCCTCTGTTTTTACCTTTTTTTGCAATTCTTTTCTTTTTTCTTTACTCAAAACTATTCGTAAAACTTTTCAAAACTTTTTCTCCTTTCTCTTTTTCTTTAAATTCCTGCTTATTTAAATTAACTCGTTCCCAATAACTTGTCCCCCCTTTCTCCAGTTTAATATAAAGTAACAGCGTGTAGAACAGAATTAATTATATTAATTAATGCGCGGCCGTGGAAGATTAATAAAAAGGTGAACGAGAAATGATTACACGTTTGACGGATCATTAATGAAAATCTATTCGACGAAGAGCAGCGCGTCCCGCAGCATAGACGAAGACGTAACCGAGCCGTATAATTAGCGGTAAGTAAGGCGTTATTAGTAATTAATTTGCACGCCTCGCGGGATCAAGATCTGCAATCTTCATAATTCAAAGTTTTACGCGAGATTCGGTGGGACTGCGTGATCCCGTCCCCTTCATTTATCTCGAAAATCCCTTCCTCGCTCGCCCTTTAAATTATTATGGAGGACGATTAAGAGTCGAATAAAAATTAATAAACTTTAAAATTTAAGAGTCGAAGATTAATTAATCGAGGCATGTATAATGCATGCCTCGTCAAATTAATTGAAGGGTATGGGAACGTGATTCTTCTTCGCTCCCTTTGTGTCTCGATTTTTTTTTATTTTTTTTTTATTTTTTTTTTATTTTTTTTTAGAAATATTAGAATATTAATATAGCCTGTGATTCACCATATAGAAAATGCTAGAATTTTTATTAAGGTTAAGTGGTATGTAAGGTGGTATAGTTTTTATTTACAAAATAATGTTTCTACTACGATTTATATTTTAAAAGTTTCTGTTTTAAAGATTCTTTGTTGTTTATATAATTATGAGTGTATAATGATCGGTACGAAATTATAAAAAAAGAGCGAAAGTAATTACGTTCAATTAACAATGATAGACGTTCACCGCAAATTAAAATGTGGAATTCAATCGATGTTAATTATCATGCTAATGAACGTAATTTTCATCCATATTCGACGCGATATTTGAGAAATTTATCGATATTATATTTCTTGCTTTACATGCTACTAACAAAAAAAAAAAAAATGAAAAATGAAAAAGAAATTCTTATTATCAAAAAGAAAGAATAAAATATTTTTTCCCGAACGAATACAACCAACAATCAACAATAATTCGTACATTTTATAATTTAATTGAACATCCGTTTCATATATCAATTTAATAATTAATTAACAAGAGAAAAAAAAAAAAAGAAAAAGAAGAAGAAATCAGAACGACGATCAATAAACAAGTGAGTCGTGACTGCACTCCGTATTAAGTAGTGCTTCTTCTTCTTCTCATCAGAGAGTGATTCAATGATTGAACTTTGCCATAACTCACTCGGCCAATTAACGTAAGAGCCGTGAGTATGAGTGAGTAAAAATTTCTCCGCTCATCGACACGACCAGGCCGTGCCAATAAGTAGCGCTCGCATTAATAATTAATTAGCAGGGCTGCCGAGCGGCAGACCTGGCCAATTTCCATAATTCAGCGGCCACACCAATATACAATATCGCCTGTTCGAACGTGGAGGATAGGATCTCTAATAATGCGACGGGATACTAATAATTACCGGTGGATTCGCACGCGAGTCAATTGCAAATTGGTCGTCGGCTGCGTATAATTGTCGAATTTTTTGCCCAATCGTTAAAGTACGATAAGAATATCCGTTGCCAAGCAACGGTCATTCCGCGGGAGGCGCTGCACGCTTTCTTCTTCTTCTTATTCTTCTCTGAAATGCAATCGTTCCACGCGTTCGAGGCGACGATTTTTATTTATATTTCTACAACACGATCGTGAATTTTTCTAATAAAAGGGGAATTTTGAAAGAAAATTTTCCGTGAACGTGGCTTTTCTTTTGCGAAATTTAATATCCTTTATTATTTCGAAAAGTTTCTTGTTTATACGTGTAAATATGCGTATCTTGTATATTTATGTGCGAATTGAGTGTCAATTGGACCCGATCATTGTTTTGTTCTCCTTTTTAAACCGCCGCCACAGTGGTTCGAACAAAATTATTTTTTTCCAGATTTTGAGATCTAATTTTTAGAAAACAATACTACTTTTTTTTATTATAATTTATTATTTCATTAAAAATATGACTAAATAATGTAAAAAAATTAACATTGCGATTGATTAGAATAGAATAAAAAAGAAAATAAATAATAATCAATATATAAAAGATATACAAATATACAAATATTTGTGATTTAGTAATCGCACAAAATATCTCTGTGTGACAGAAGTAAAAAAAAAAGTTACAGGCAATGTAGCTTAAAATCAATCCATAAATATCAATGGCTGAATTAAAGAATTCACTAGATGGCGGACAAATTAATTTTAATACAATTTTAAAGTAAAGTTTTGCGAATCAATGTAAAAAAAAAGTAGAAACTTTCTACTTTTCACACATTAATCTATTAATTACTTAATTTCAAGTTTAATTTACAAAAAAAAAAAAAAAACAAAAAACTTATCTCGATAATTCTTAATAAATTTACAGAATATTTCTCAACTATTGAAACATGATTGATATTGTTATACGTTACAATTATTTTTTTACACATTCGAAAATGAATTTCGAATCCAGTTAATATAAATTATTCGAACCACTGAGTGCGACGCGACTCGGTGAACTCTGCGATCTAAATAACAAGAGGCACCGGAACGACCTACGATCCATATAACGTAACCCCCCCTCCCTTCCTTTATCGAATACATTCTTACCTCAACGTATTACTTTAATTTCAAACCAATTTCACAATCTATTCCCTAACATTTCTGACACTCGTCCGATTAAAATTATTCGTTCAATAAACTTCTCTCCGATTCGATGTATTCGATGAAAGGGAGAAAGAGAGAAAAACAAAAACGAAATCGAGTCACGAAATTATCGACGTTATTATTTCTCCGGTTAATTAAAATAGCAGAACGAGCAGCATGCGGTACGGAACGGATAATTGCGACCGACGAATTGTTTAATTCGAATCGTCGTTGAACACGTGGAATTTAAATGCTCGCGCCGCTTTACACGCAGCCACGATTTGAATACCGGGCGGAGTTGACCGGCGGCCCCGAATCAAGGGAAAATCGGAAATGATTGTCACGTTGTCGAACGGTCGGATTATGTTCGACTTGGAGCGCGGCCCCGCATGAATATTCATCCCCCGCGCGAATTTCACCCCTTTCGCCGCGAAAAATTCCTAAGCAATCCCCCCTCCCCTCCCTCGAGGGGGACCAACGCTCTCGATATAATTAATCGTATGCGCAAGCACGTATCTGATAACCGGATGATCCTCAATTCACCCTCTCTTTATTTTTTAAAGGGGTAACACCTTTCTTTGCGCGCTGAATTTCAAAACAAATATATATATATATATATATATATGAAATTTTATCCTCGAGAAAGCTTGTTCCTTCTTCCCCGTACGTTTCGTTTATACGTGTAAATATGCGTATCTTGTATATTTATGTGCGAATTGAGTGTCAACTGGACCCGATCATTGTTTTGTTCTCCTTTTTAAACCGCCGCCACAGTAGTTCGAACAAAATTATTTTTTTCCAGATTTTGAAATTTAATTTTTAGAAAACAATACTACTTTTTTTATTATAATTTATTATTTCATTAAAAATATGACTAAATAATATAAAAAAATTAACATTGCGATTGATTAGTTATTGGATCAAGGGTGGGGGAAGCTCGTGGCAAACAACGATGTCTCCTTTTTTGGGATGAAATTCCAGAGAGAGAGAGAGAGAGAGAGAGATGGGAACAGGCGATGATTTAATATTCGATATTTTATTGCATCCCCTCCCCGACATCCTACCTGCGCGTATTTGATTTTCACTCGCGAAATTGGGAAGAGATGAGGAAGGGATGATGAAACGAAAGAGAAATATTTCGATTTTTTTCTATTCATCGTAGATTTATTCGCGACACGATAATTTTAATTTTGGATCCACGACAGAACCGTCACTTTTCGATCTTTATTTTTTATTTAAAAAAAAAAAAAGAAAAATATGTATAACCCAAAAGGGAAGCGTTACAAAATCCTTACTCATTTCTCGAATTTCCCATTCCATATTTCCACATCCCTTCCTTATCCCCCCTTCCCCCGAAAACTTAAATCTCCCCGGGCAACTGCGCGGGAAGCCACAATTTCCCTGAAAAAAATCTGCAAGAAAGGAAAAGAAAAGGAACGTACCAAGTGGAGGGATATTTCCACCCCTTAAAAATACCGTCCACGGATAAAAAAAACAAATGGTCGCTGAAAATCCACGCCAAAAATTTATCTCCCCCTTAACTACATCATATATATATATATATATACACACAAAAACGTGATATTCCCGTGGAAATTGGTTTTCGCCTATGCTCGCCAAGTTTTCTTATACCATCGAGCAACGATCCATGGATACGAGAGCGAAGCACGGTCTCGATCGAGCGAATTAATCTCCGTGAGGAGAGCCAAAAAAGAGAGAGAGAGAGAGAGAGAGAGAGAGAGAGAGAGAGAGAGAGAGAGAGAGAGAGAGAGAGAGAGAGAGAGAGAGAAAAGAAGAATATATACGGAGGAGAGTCCGTAAAGATTCGCACGTACCTCGCGTTTCGACGAGAGCCCAACATAGATTGGCCAAGGAGAAGAGCAGCAGCGAGAGTAGATATAGAGCGGCATCCCATCTCATCTTCGTTGTTCCGGATAGCTTCCTCGGTGGCTGCCTTCACTCTTCTCTCGCCCCTTCTTCACCGGTCGCGCTCATCCTCCATCATCATCACCATCATCCCCCCGTTCTCACCACAGCGTGGACCAGCTACCGTGGATGCTCGAGAGGAGGGGAGGGGAGGGGACACCCTCTTCGAGTCGCGGCGGAGGGAAGAAGAAGAAGAAGAAGAAGAAGAAGGGAGAAAGGAGAAAGGAGAAAGGGGGAAGGTGGAGGCGAGAGAGGAGGAAAAGAAGCTCGTGGCCGCGGTCTCGCAAGGTCGGCAAGGGTGCTTATCACACCTGGCTGATAACACCTGGAAGACAAATAGCGACAGGGGTGGTAAACAGAAGCGCAACGTTTCCTCGTGTAATTAACCCGAGGTGTAATCCCCCAAGGTGGCAACGGATTCGCCTTGTTCCATGTTTTACCACGCGATATAGATAACACGTGTACGAGTGTTTGTGCATCACAATGGTGTGTGTGTTGGCCGCGCGCAATATCATTGAAATTATTATAAATCGTGGTTATTATTATTATTATTATTATTATTATTGTTATTAATTTCCGTGGAGAAAGGTGGAGAAGATAACTGTTTCTGAAAAAAATTAGTTGTTCCTTAGTTTATATCTCTTTTTTGTATACATTTTTTTTTTCTTTTTTTTATTTCTATCCTTCCGTTCGTACGCAATTTGTAAAACGTTATAGATAGATATACGAGTGCTATATTATTTTATGGGTTTTTTTTCTTAACCTCGTACGTATCATGAAACTTGAAACGAGAGTGGATGAAGTAGTATATTTTTCATTTTGTATAAAATGGTTGATTTAATTTCTGAGCGATGTATTTGTTGGAAAATAAAATATGATCGTTCAGGATTAAAGGAAATAGAAAAGGTTTAAATGTGGAAATTTACGAACAAAATTGGGAACAAGAACAAGGAATAAGATGATAAAGTATAGCGCGTTAGATATTCGGATAGATATCTCTATGGAGCGAGGAAAATAAAAGGGAAATAATCGTTTAGAATTAAAGGAAACAAAAAATTTTTAATAAATGTGAAAACTTACGAACAAAATTGGGGACAAGAATAAAATATTTGATAGCCATTTCTGTGAAGGAAAATAAAAGGGAAATATGATTTAGGATTAAAAGAAACAAAAACTTACCGGAAACTTGCGAACAAAATTGGAGAATAAGTTATAAGGAAGAAAGTATAGCGCGTTAGATATTCGGTAGCCGCCTCTGTGAAGGAAAATAAAAGGAAAATATGGAGATATTTAATAGATCGTTTTTAAGATTAAAGGAAACAAAAAGGTTTAAATGTGGAAACTTACGAGCAAAATTGGGGACAAGAACAAGTTATAAGGAATGATACCGTGATAGATATTTGGTAGCCATTTCTGTGAAAATAAAAGGAAAATATGATCGTTTTTAGAATTAAAGAAAACAAAAAGATTTAAATGTGGAAACTTACAAGCAAAATCGAGGACAAGAACACCTTATAAGGAATGATACCGTGATAGATATTCGATAAAAACCTACTATAAAGAACCATTTCTATAAAGAAAAATAAAAATATGATCGTTTAGAATCAAAAGAAACGAAACATTTAAATATGGAAACTTAGGAGGAAAATTGGGGACGAAGTTAGAAGAAAATATAATATAAGCCTGATAGATATTCGCTAGCATCGAATAAATTCTCAAAGTTCATTCGAGGAGAAGCGTTTCCGCTCCCGTCCAAGCACTCCAGTACTTCTATTTAGATATTTTAGTAATGCGAGTCTGATGGCCGCAAGAATGATGTCTCGCATCATTTATTTCCATCACTACTGTCTGCAATAAAAGTATTGATAATAATATTGAATAGTAATACTGATTTAATATATTTTGGATATTTTAATTTGGATAATTTGGATAATATGACAATGCCCTTCGACTAGTCGTAACAAATGTACTTCTTAGTTGCGAATTGTATATAAATTATTCGCGTGGCTTGTCTATTAGAAACCAGTGTCACAGTAGGTAATCGTGTCCGATAGTCAGAGCACGATGTGTTCATAAAATTATTTAATCGTCGTATCACCATGAGATTCGTGATATTCCAAAATTAGAAGATTTGGAGAATTATTAGCTGCAAAATTATTAGGATTATCTGAAAATACAAGAAAATCTTATAAATCCCAAGCGGGATATCCCTAATAGTACTCGATGGATCCATTAAACGATAACCGGGCGGCGAAGATACATACACCGGGTAACAGAAATCTTTTTCTCCAATTTCCAAGTATTCTCTTTCGAACACCTTCTCTCCCCTTTTCCCCGCGATAAAACCTGGCCACCTTTATCCAGACCACGCTCCGAACTTATTCCGCGCCCGTGATCCACGTCGCCCGCCTACGACGACCCGACGCTGCTCCCCGTCGTCTACGACGCACGAGCGCGGCCGCCGCCGTGTTTGCCCTCCTCCTTATGCTAAATCCCCGGCTCCTCCGTGGCGAGAGGCAGATAGTCCTCTCCTAGATCCCGTTTCGAGAAAAAGGAAACGGTTCTTCTTCTTCTTCTCCTCCTCGGTTGGAAGGAGGTGGAAAACGAAATTCCGAAAGTTGGTCTCTCTGCTCGGTGAAACAGGTCACGGAACCAGAGATAGAGATGGAGAGAGGGAGAGGGGGAGAGAGAGAGAGAGAAAGAGAGGAAGTGGGGGAGGAGGCGGTGTTTAAAAAGTTTTCCCTCGGCTCGGTTGCGGATTCTCCTCTCCCTCCTCCCCCTGGGGATAAAACAAAGGATAATCAGGCCGCTTTTTATTTCGTCGGGTCTGTGTCTGTGTATGTAGTTGAGAACCAGCCTCCGGAATTATCGCCTTCTCTTTTCCTTTTTTCCTTCCCTTTCCTTGAAGTCTTCACCTTCTAAGCCCTACGCTCGAATTAGGCCACGTTAATCCTTCGATTCGTTAGGCAGTTCCCAACTTGCGTGCCAACTAGACAACGTCCTTACGTGTACTTTTGTTTTCTTCTCTTTTTTTTTTTTTTTTCCTTTTTATTCTTGCTAAAGGACGTTGAACAAGGTTCGTCGACCTTGGAAATCGGATTTCGCGTGTTTCCTCTGGAGAGAGAAGAGAAAGGATAGACTAATTTTGGAGACAATTGCCACATTTGATTTTAAAGGGAGAGGGAATTTTCGTATTCAGGACACGTTATTAACAGGACACTTTATAAGAGCACACCTTTAACAGAATGTTTTTACACACTCGTATATTCACCGCGCGATCTTAACCGGAGTTTAAACCGTTCCGCGAATTCCCGTCGACATCGTGTTGTTAAGGCTCGTGTTCCGAATATAACGTCGGGAACAGGTTACGCTCGCAAAAGTAGGGGGAGTAAGTTTAAAAATCTTTAACAACTTCTGAATATCCGAACGTGTTTAAACATCAGTTTCTGCAGTTGTACTCTTTCCTCCATTATTTCGCTTATATATATATTTGAGATAAATATTTAATTTTTTATCCGTAATTTGTTAATTTTCTCTTTTCACTCTCATTTTCGAAATCAGAATTTTTCATAGATTTTTCGGCGACTTTTAATCGAAAGAATTCGATCTCGAGAAATATTTATCGGTTGGTATCTTTTTCGAAGTTTATATTGGAGCGTACTATTTTAACTTTTCATCCTTAATAACATTTGTAAATCTTCTTTTTTAACGTATTTATCCATTGATATTAATATTTCGAGACTCTCATCTTCGAATCTTCCATAGATTTTTCGATGACTCTTAATCGACCTTGAAAGAATTTTCAGTCTCGAAATCGATCTCGAGAAATATTTATCGGTTGGTAATCTTCCTCGAAGTTTATATTGGAGCGTACTATTTTAACTTTTCATCCTTAATAACATTTGTAAATCTTCTTTTTTAATGTATTTATCCATTAATATTAATATTTCGAGACTCTCATCTTCGAATCTTTCATAGATTTTTCGATGACTCTTAATCGACCTTGAAAGAATTTTCAGTCTCGAAATCGATCTCGAGAAATATTTATCGGTTGGTATCTTTTTCGAAGTTTATATTGGAGCGTACTATTTTAACTTTTCATTCTTAATAACATTTGTAAATCTTCTCTTTCAACTATCCATTAATATTAATATTTCGAGACTCTTATCTTCGAATTTTCATAGATTTTCCATAGATTTTTCGATGACTTTTAATCAACCTTGAAAGAATTTTCAAACAAACAGTCTTGAAATCGATCTCGAGAAATGTTTATCGAGATATTTCATCTTCGAATCTTCCAATAAATTTTTCGATGACTCTTAATCGACCTTGAAAGAATTTTCAGTCTCGAAATCGATCTCGAGAAATATTTATCAGTTGGTATTTTCTTCCAAGTTTATATTGAAGTATACTATTTTAACTTAACTTTTCATTTTTAATAACATTTGTAAATTTTCTCTTTTAATGTATCTATCCATTTAATATTAATATTTCGAAACTCTTATCTTCGAATGACGATTTTCCATAGATTTTTCGATGACTTTTAATTAACCTTGAAAGAATTTTCAAACAAACAATCTTGAAATCGATCTCGAGAAATGTTTATCAGTTGATATTTTTCTTCAAATTTATATTGAAGTATACTATTTTAACTTTTCATCTTTAATAACATTTGTAAATTTTCTCTTTTAACGTATTATGTATCTATCCATTAATGAGACTTCGAGACTTATCTTCGAATCTTCCATAGATTTTTCGATGACTCTTTATCGACCTTGAAAGAATTTTCAGTCTCGAAATCGATCTCAAGAAATATTTATCGTTTTCATATTTTCCTCCAAGTTTATATTCGAGCGTATTTTAACTTTTTTAACTTTTTTAACTTTTTTAACTATTTTAACTTTTCATCCTTAATATTTGTAAAACTTCTCTATTAACGTATCTATCCATTAATATTAATATTTCGAGACTCTTATCTTCGAAACTTCCACAGATTTTTCGATGACTCTTAATCGACCTTGAAAGAATTTTCACATTCGAATTTTCGAAATCGATCTCGAGAAATGTTTATCGATATTTTCCCTCAAGTTTATATTGGAGGGAAATTTTTTAGGAATCGAAATACCGCGAAACGACAGCCATAACATCGAACTTGTAGTAAAAAACTTTTCTACTACGACTTCTATCACGATTGGATCGCAAGTTGGTTGGATCATTAGATGGTTACGGTCATCTCGAGATTCTTCTTCGGGATTCCTGGCCGTCATTAAGGGGCGAAACTTTCGTGGCAAGTAAGTACTTACTTAGGCTACCATAACATGGCGG